TATTATTATTATTATTATTATTATTATTATTATTATTATTATTATTATTATTATTATTATTATTATTATTATTATTATTATTATTATTATTATTAAAAAAATTAAATTTAAAATAAAATTCGTAAAAAAAAATTAAATAATAAATAAGTTACGTGATAATGGTTAAATAATTAACTTTGTACTTTTACATTATAATTTATATGGGGAGGTATTTACTTGCCATTTTTAGCTAGCGTGGGTGCCTGGCGCGATTGACCTATTAAAGAATAATAAAAACGTTGGAAACCTGTAGGTATAATCGCGCGCCATCTCGTATTTGCTAACGCTAGTAAAACACTATTTCTTGGTAACGCGATCGGTAACGCGATCCTCCTGAGAGCTCGATATATCTGGATTATGGGTTACATTCTCATCCAGCCGCGCTTCCCTGAAACGCCTAGACTCGGACTATCATATTCAACACCACGAACATGCAGAGCTATAGAATAGGGGCTGCAATATGTAGTAGAAGAAGAGCCCCAAAAGTTATAATGTAAGAAAAAGTTAATTTCATGAGAGCAGTATTTGGCTCAATGCTCGTTGATGTTTGCTAGACAACCATAATTCAATCTCTCACTTTCTCACCGGCCGCATGGGACCCTTTCCGTCTTGTCGATACTCCCACTAGCTCCCTAGATATGCATGTGCACCAAAGATCTCACTATCGTTCTTAGATCGCCTCGGGTAGCTCTCGACATGGATCCATCCCTAGCAAGCAGGGTGGTAGGCCCGTCCCTTCGGTTAGTTGAGGCGAAGCCAACACCAAATGGGGACATCATCAAACCAAACATCCTCTTCGGGAAAGTCACAAGCGCTGATTAGCTGTATGCGAGCTAGATCAATCTCAGGGGTCATCGGTAACATCTCCCGGATTTGCGTAGTTAAGTCCCCAAGGAGATTTTGGGTGGGGGCTATTTGGCCTATATACTCCGAGTCCTTGATAACTATGAGATATATTCACGATATCTAGTCGCTATGTTGTTTCTCTTCTTCCATTGTAGAAGAAACACAGCTTCCCGGCGAAAAGACCTTACTTCAGGCCTGGCCGCTCACTTTCGTTAACCGTCCTTCTGCCCGACCAATTCACTCGCTTTTTCATTCTTACCTGCTCGACTGGCTCCGTTGTTTCTTTCTTTCTTAACCTACTGTCGTTAAAATGAGGCCAGCAACTCTCGCTTTCCTTCTAGGCCCTGTGGGCATCGTAGCCCGGCCTTGTGGCGGTCATCGCCCTCCGCCGACATCGTCTACAATTTCTTCATCAGCATATCCCGTTATTACATCTGCTATCGTCACCAACTCTACCACCACGCCTGCTATTACTCCGTCTGCTAGTGCTACGTCTGCTAGTCAGTCTGCTGTTACATCAGCTACCGCTTCATTCACTTCGACTTCGGCTCCGCCAGCCGCCTCCTCTGTCGCAACCTCAACTAGCCAACTGACTAGTCACTCTACTAGCTCTTCTGCCGCGCCATCTTCCACCTCGGGCAGCAGTACCCCTTCTGACAGCATTGACCAGCTCTTCAAGGCGAAGGGCAAGCTGTATTTTGGCACGGCGGCTGACTCTGGAACCTTGTCTAAGTCGCAAAACGCTGCCATCATCAAGAAGGATTTTGGCCAGTTGACGCCGGAGAATAGCATGAAGTGGGACGCCATCGAACCGACCCGCGGAGGCTTCACCTTCGATGGCGCCGACGCGCTCGTCGATTTTGCGGTCCAGAACGGTCAGAGCGTGCGCGGTCACACCTTGCTCTGGTACCAGCAGCTACCTGACTACGTCAGCGCCATCACGGATGCCACGGAACTCACGAGTGTCCTGGAGAACCACATCAGCACTATCGTTGGAAGGTACAAGGGCAAGGTTCGCGCTTGGGTACGTACTAACTGACTTTGAGGGATAGCGGGAGTAAGATGCTAATCGAGCCTATTTAGGACGTCGTCAACGAAATCTTCAACGAGGACGGAACTCTCCGCGACTGCGTCTTCACTCAGGTGCTCGGCGAGGACTTCGTCCGTATCGCATTCGAGGCAGCGCGTAAGGCGGACCCGGACGCCAAACTTTACATCAACGACTACCATCTCGAGAGCGGCACTTCGGCTAAAACGACTGTCGGCATGTTCGACCACGTGCAGAAGTGGCTCGCCGCCGGCATCCCAATCGACGGTATCGGCCTTCAAGGTCACCTCGGCGGCGGCAACCCCGACGCCAGCGGCGAGCAGGCCGGCCTAGAGAAGCTTGCTACGACCGGCGTATCCGAACTAGCTATCACCGAGCTGGACATCGTCGGCGCGCCAGCCGACCAGTACGTAACGGTTACCAACGCCTGCCTCGCTGTCGAGAAGTGCGTCGGAATTACCGTGTGGGGCGTGAGCGACGCCGTAAGTATCTTTGTTGTGGATTCCAGGTATATATGCTAACATTCCGCAGGACTCCTGGCAATCGCAGAGCACGCCCCTCCTCTTTGACACCAGCTATCAACTTAAAGCAGCTTATACAGCCATCGTTCAAGATCTTTCGTAAGCTATTACCGAACACCTAACAACTTGTACCTATCAACCTTCCCTCAGAATAGAGGCAAACATCTAGAGAGCATAGATGCCCATAATCATAATAATATAAACCATCATCCGCTTTGGCTTAGCCGTGTTCATGATAGGAGTTCTTATAGAGCCAGGAAATACCCATTTATTACGTAGGTAGACAGGTTTATACCGATGGAGTCTCTCCTCTTTGATACTACGGCTAGAAAGAAGCTCGCGAGTGGTTTAATGAATTCCTAAGTTCATGCTAGAGCCGAATTTCAACAATATCCACCTATTAAGTGTTAATATCTGAGGTGATACCTAGACCTATGAGACCCATATTCTCACCCTTAATAGGTACGGATTGCGCGGGACCTTTCTTTCCCGCTCTCCTCCTGGGGTACTAAGTTGCGGTTTAGATATCATTGTCGAGAACGAATCGCGAGTCTACGCCACCCATCTCAGGAGACGATATAAAAAGTTCCGCATTGTATATTGCGTGCCTAGGTACCTAATATTTATTTATATTTATTTTTTAACATTGTTGCCTATGGGGTTGCAACGTACTATCCAGTATACTGCCTGACTTCGAACTGGGGCGTTCCAACAGGTACGAGTTTTCGCAAGATAACCCCCTTTCAAGGAATCGACTCATTCAGCGCATCTATATCAAAGCGAGGATAGGCTGCATTAGTCTGATTGCAGCTTTTCATCGGGAATCTCGGACCAATCGCTAAAGATCGAATCCAGACAAAGCTGGCGTAATGCATATGGGAATGTTAGGTAGGTAATGATAATATGGATTGCAACGTAGTTGACACGAGGCGGACGCTGGAGCAAAGTTATATAAATGCCACCACCGAGATTGAATGACCACAAGCAAAGAGTTGTTGAGCCTTCCATCGACTTGAGCAGCCTCGTCTTTAGATCTGAAGAATGCGGTTCACTTTTAGATCTTCGCTAGTTTGGTTCTCGCGGCTCTCTATGTTGTATTAGCAGTAAGTCGCGACGGTCTGATGTCTCGAAAACCAAGCTCATACGCATCACATCTAATCAGTCATCTCTTCTACCAAACTCGATACTCTCCAACGCAACTTGCGGTCAACCATGCGTTCAACAGTCAGATTGTACAGGAACGTGTAGCTTTTGTTCTACGCCGGCCGAATACCGATGGCAGTGTCTGGAGCCTTAGGTACCTTAGTCATCAGCAGCACAAGGGCGATAACATGTGGGCTATCTGAAGTATTTGAATAGGGGCTGAAATTCATGCTTAGCGCTGTACTCAATATAGGTGTTATATCACGCTGTGTCATACTAACTCTAGAATATGCTCGGGGAAGAAGAATATCTGAGTCTGCATTTCATGGTTATTCAACTATTTAGGTTAGGTTTCTGGGTATCACGGTCAATCAGAGTAGCCGTCCTAAGCGTCATCCCCAGTCTCGGCTTCCATTGATAATAGAAGAACATTCCTTCAGAGTACATGGGTTGAGCCTTTTATTGCTCAATGAACTCTAGAACCATCCCGTCATGACAATCCCTTCATACAGCCAACATGAACCGCCTAAGCGCTAACCTAATTCCATTAGTCCCTCAATAAACAGGGAAGTATACGTCCTCGTAAAAAAGGCCTACTCCCCGACGTGCCTTCAATTAGCTATATCTGCTATTCATGTTAATTGGGTGTTGGCTCTGACGGATATTCACCCTTCTCTTACTCTAAATGGCTGTCCCATCGACTCTTGGCGCATCTCGGAGTAGTGGTATCAACCAAGATGGCTTGTTATTCAGGAAACCATCCACCCGGTCGATCTACGGCCGAATTCCGTGGGAGGAGGGGGCATGTTTCCCAAGACATCATGATGCGCAATCGAGATCAAGATCGGGTCATAAAGGTGCGACGTTTGGCTGCGGGGACATTGATTTCGTCGACATATTCGCCACTTCGTATGTTTCGCGGTAGCTGGAAAATATTACACAGCCATCGGTTGCGGGTTATTTCCCACCGTCTTGTACAAGTCTCTGAGCTCGAACGCCTCGTGGCCGCCTTCGGGCACCTCACCGACCACTCGAGCGGGCTGACCAGCAACGACGCTGAAGCTCGGTATGACCATGTTGGGAGGTATGACAGTGCCGTCCAGGATGCGAACATAGTCTTTGATGATGGCGAACTCTCCGACGACGACGTTCTGGCCAATATATACGTGGCTTCCGACGGTGGCCGCTTGGACTACGGTGCTATCGCCGATGAAAACATGATCGCCAAGTCGGAGAGGGAGGAAGGTGAAGGACCTAGAAAAAAACGATACGGCGTTAGCAAAGAATTACGAAGCTTGACTAGCCTCACGGCGCGCACACGAGTAACTCACCCTTTGTATATACGACCTGGCGGACGTAGACAACATCCTTTGCTCAGATAACAGTATCGACCGATAGCTACGGCGGTGTTGCTACCCGGAGCGGCAGCGCCCGAGCTCGAAGTTGGTTGGGCGGTTCTAGCCAAGTCGCCTCGTATCGTGGCTTCGGCTTGGATGACCGTCTTGCCGCCTAGCATGATGTGTTGTGTTCCAATCAAAACGGCCTTTCGCGACACTTTATTTCCGGTGTCCTGTGAAGGCGCATGTTAGTAAGATAAAGACGATAGTTGTTTGTGAATGGAGCAGCTTACGGTTTCAATGTACTCGCCCTTTACTTGCTTCTTCGACATTTTGAAAGGTTGCGAGCGGGGAATAAAGTGGTTGATCTCGCAGATAATGCTTCGAGGTCGAGGTTCAGAGGCTACCGGGAAACGCGACGCGACAGCACAGCTTCTCGAGTATCTCACCCCACTATCCGGGTCCTAATCAGTTTATCACAAATGACCCACGTTAAGAAGCGAAAATACGAATGACAATTCAACGATAGTTCTAATGTACATAGAACCCAACGCTTAAATACATCGATGCGCTTTTTTATAATACACTTCCAGGTCCAGGTCCCATTGTCATATGCCCTTTGGCCGTGAAGTTGTTCGAGAAACAATCAGTCTGCAAAGGGGCAGCAAAGCCGAAAGCTTTGTTCGAAACACAAAATGTTAGTATATGTAAATACCGAGTACCTTTGAACGCTTAGTTCTATATGTAACTATTGAATATGCGTTCAAGCAGGTTTATTCAAGACATCAAGCTCTGGAACAATAATCATAGATAAATCAAGCAGTTCCAGTGGAAACAGGCTCCGGAAGAGTTTGGAAATTCGATAACGGTAATGCAAATGAACTTACAGTCCAATTGACCCGAAGCTGTAGTTTATCGAACTGATATTGAACTGCAGTTGGTCTGCAGTAGAAATCGAAGTCTACTCGATACGTAACGTTGGAAAGTCGTAGTGTCCCGCTAAAGCCTGAAGGATTCATAGTTGCTATAGACTAGTACTTCATACGCCGCCTTGGCTAAGTAAGGTCACTTTACACCGAGTTAGGGAGTACAGATGGAAGTCTCGGAGTAGTTTTCGGGAGAAAATGGATTCCGGGCCCGGGAAAACGGCCAGGAACGGGGTTGATTGGGTTAGTTCGCTCCGATTGGAGCCTAGAGGGGCTTATCGATAGCTATTGTATCCAATTACCAAGTTCGCATTTTTCTAATGAATTGTGCAACTTTGTAACTTTACGATTTTACCTTTTCTAGTCTTGACGCCGTTTAGACGAGAAATCTTCCGCTCTTTTAATGGGACAAGTATGTTGACATCACAATGGGTGTGCCGTCGTTGTATAAAAGCTCTGGCACAACCTCGAAATCGCCCATTCTTGCGATTAGCTAGCACGGGTACACATCCACTATCTACGATATTCATATACATTATGCATGTCTACGAACGAGGTCGTACCAACTAACACTTCACAAGATGCGCAAACAAACCTACCGCCTATCCTCCTCCAACGTGCACGAAACCTCTGCGCCGAACATGACAAACTCGCAAGCGCCCTCCTGAAGGAGTACGACTCCAAGATCGCCAAGCGCGTGGGTGAATTATCGCGCGTCGCAGCCGCCCTGAAGAAATGGGACGCCGCCCAATCCTCGATACTGGAGCTTAATGCTCTGCTGGAATCGCAAGATGCCGAGTTACGCCAACTAGCCAAGGACGAGTTATCGACCACCAATGCCAACATAGGCACCTTGGCCACTGCTCTGTCGGCCTCGCTTACCCCGCGCGACCCCTTTGCAGATATGCCCTGCTTGCTCGAGATACGACCGGGCCCAGGCGGAATGGAGGGCCGCTATTTCGCCGACACCATACTTCGTATGTACAAGATGTACTGTATACGAAAGGGCATACGCGCCAACGTGTTGAAGCGTGAGGTGGTCGACGGCGCCGAGTCTACCATGCTAGGCATAAGCGAATCCCCGTTGCAAGAAGCAGTCCTACAGATCCTAGACCCCGGCGCGTATGACTTGTTCCGAGGAGAAGCGGGCATGCACAGAGTCCAACGCGTGCCGTGCACCGAAGCGATGGGGCGTACGCATACAAGTGCCGTAGCTGTGTGGGTGCTCCCTCTGTTCTCCGACGATGAGTCCGCCATGCCGAACGAAATGAGTTTGAAAGACCCGAATAGTATATTCTACGTGGATCCGAAGGACGTCAGGGAAGAGAAGATGCGGGCTAGCGGCGCCGGCGGCCAGCACGTCAACAAGACGGAGAGCGCGATCCGGCTGACGCATGAGCCGACGGGTATCACGGTGTCGATGCAAGATTCGCGATCACAGCATCGAAATCGCCACGACGCATGGTTGCTTTTGCGATCGCGCATCGGTCAGCGTAGAAGGGAAGAACGGGAGGAACAAGCGGCGGCGTTGAGGAATAGCGTGTTAAGCCAAGATAAGATCTCACGCACCGGCAAGATCCGGACGTATGCCTACGCCCAGGACCGGTGCACAGATCACAGGGGCGGACTGGATGTTCATAACCTACGGGACGTATTAGAAGGCGGAGAGTTGCTGGATAAGCTCATGGATAGCACGAAGGAATGGCTCGTTGCGAGAGATATTGCAGCTCTTATTGCCGAGGAAGAAGCGGCTGCGGCACCTCCAGGGAAGAAATCGAAGAAATAAACACCATAATCTCATTCCATCGATTATCCTTCCTCTCATACATGCTTACCTCATGTTCATATATAAAGCATATGAGAATCTTGGTAAACTAACTATTCTCAGAACATACTACGAAATCTGAAGCTATCCCAAGAAGCCCATATTTCATCAAGAGCATGGTTTCATCGAGCGAACCCTCTTCTCACTGAAAACGACGATAGAATAAGAGATACTCAGAGTTTTATTTCAGCCCTGGACTGATCTATTATCACATGAAACTTGTAACTTATGGGTAGGACCGGCTACAACGATTCGGCCGGGCTTCACTCCGGATCCGTCGGCTCTTCCGTTCGTCAATTAAAAGCCGGTCTAAGCCGTCACCTTCCGACTACGACGTCATCAGAGCCATCGACGCAATAGACGGATAGTGAGGATCGATCTACATGACTTACTGACACCACACAGATCAACCTCGTATTGGTTTCTGCTCTAATGCTTCCCGAGATACCCCTGGCTAGAAAATTGTTCTCGAATCCAGCTCGGTGCCTAGAAAGGCTTTTATAAAGACGACATCATCCCAAATCGACCAGACCCTCCGCTACGAGTAACCGCTAGAATGGTTGTAGAAGCTCGTGTTCGGACCCCTGTGATATCAGTCCCCAAATTCCGCTATAGAAAGGACATTGCTAAAATGCTTATCGTAGAATTTCGCTAACGGTACCTGATGAGCTTCCTAAACAGGCAAAAAGCCGCATTGCTCAATCGGATTCTGCCGCTCGTCTCATTCGTCTAATTCCCCGCAGATAAGTCACCGCTGACGATGAATGAGAGTGGGTATTCTGCTCGGGGAACGAAATAGGGTAGGATTGGAGAAGTTGTAGATCAAATTACGCCTTATTTTCTACTAGGTACGGCTGATGGGTCTAAGACATTGATTCATGCGTACCTCGAAGGAGGTACAATTCATTGTAGAAAATCCTTGGGGTTTTTGTACAGCATGCCATATGTTGCCATACCAACGATACGAACAGGCGAATGACGCAGATGGATAAGGCCTTGAAGATCTTCGCTACCCGGTTCGGATCGACGGGCACTTGAGCGGCACAGCCAGGCACAGTTCATTTTCCTCTTATTTCCATTCTTCGATTGTTCATGTCTGTCTACGAAGTAGGTAGTCACTTTTTCCCATGTGTCACGCCGCACGGCTACTCGGTACGTTCTCGTCATCACCAGGTGGTATCCGATGGGACATGGGGTGGCAGCTGGGTGGACGACAGGGCTATTTAGACCAGCTACCTATCCTGGTAAGTTGCAACTGCGAGCAATGGCAAAATAGTCATGGCCATGGATGTGGCAGACGGGATTAATGTAGGTACTATGCAGTAGAACGAGTCACCATTTGACGCGGTCTGATAACCCCGGCAGAGCTCAGTTGTTGATGTTGCCTAGCAGCCGCGTGGGTGTTGATCATGATCCACCGTCAATGCTGTTAAAGATTCCTGTATTTCTTTTATTTTGGTTCCTCCTCCATCGCCAACCTTCCCTCCTCTCCACTGCACCCTGACAACCTGCAGCTACCACCTTGGCCAGAGTCTGGGCAAGTGTGAATTTGGATTTGGACAAAGCTTTCTCATTCAATTGGATTTTCACAATTCAGTTTCTTTTGTTCACGACCACGACACAGCATGCATTGGTCCAAGCTTGTTGCCGGACTTTTGTCCGTTGCCGCTGTCGCGGACGCCAGACGGAGCCTTCAGCACGTTGGCAAGAGAGACCCAAAACCAAAGTCTACACTTGCTGATCGTGAACGTGCCCTTGAGCACTTCCTAAATTCCCGTCAAGTCCCAGCCCCCAAGTTCGCCAATGCTAACACGACCAGTAAGAACCCCTCCTACTCACTATCCACTAAATAATGCATAGCTAACCTGTGATATCATCGCGTCAACAGAGTATGCTGTCAACGGCACGGGCATTCCTGACGTCGACTTCGACGTTGGCGAGTCCTACTCGGGCTATCTGCCGATTACTGACAACCCCGATGACACGAATGAGCTTTTCTTTTGGTTCTTCCCGACTTCCGCAGCCAACTCTACGGAGAAGGAGATTCTCCTATGGCTGAACGGCGGCGTAAGTAGCACTTATATTCCTAATTATTGTATTTACTCGATTCTAACCAAGTCTTGAAATAGCCCGGCTGCTCCTCTTTCGAGGGTCTGATCCAGGAAAACGGTCCGTTTATCTGGCAATACGGCACTCTCAAGCCTGTGCCTAACCCTTGGTCCTGGAACCGCCTTACGAACGTTGTTTGGGTTGAGCAGCCGATTGGCACCGGATTTTCGCGTGGCAAGGTTACGGCAACCAGCGAAGAGGATGTAGCCGCTCAGTTCCTCGGATTCTGGAAGAACTTCATGGACTTGTTCTCCCTGCAAGGGTACAAAGTCTATATTGCGGGCGAGTCGTACGCCGGAGCATACTGCCCGTACATCGCGTCGGCCATGCTGGACAAGAATGATACCACCTACTACGATGTAAATGGTATGATGATCTACGATCCTGTTCTCGGCGACGGCACGGTCCAGGACTCGACTACCACCGTGCCTTTCGTTGATTATCACCATGACTTGATGCCGTTCAACGACTCGTTCAGCGCGTACATCCACGGTCTCCACGACTCATGCGGCTTTGCCGATTACAACGACAAGTACCTCGTCTACCCCCCTTCGGGCCCCCAACCGCCCAACTACTCGGCCAGCGTCAGCGATGAGTGCCAGAACCTATGGGGCGCCGTGTTCGACGAGGCGATGAGCATAAACCCGTGCTTCGACATCTACCAAGTCGCCACGACCTGCCCGCTGCTCTGGGACGTCCTCGGCTTCCCCGGCTCCATCGACTACCTCCCCGTAGGAGGCACGATCTACTTCAACCGCACGGATGTGAAGAACGCGATCCACGCCGACGTGAACACGAACTGGGAAGCGTGCGCCTCGCACAACGTCTTCGTAGGCGGCGACTCGTCCGACCCGTCGTCGTGGGTCGTGCTCCCGCACGTCATCGACGCGACGCAGAACGTGATCATCGGCCACGGCTCGCTGGACATGATCCTGCTGCCCAACGGCACGCTCCTGACGATCCAGAACACGACGTGGGGCGGGCAGCTGGGTTTCCAGTCGGCGCCGACCGAGCCCTTCTTCGTGCCCTACCACACCCTCAGCACGGCGGACGAGATCGAGTCGTCGACGGACGAGCTCGCGCTCAGCTCGATCGCCGGCGCCGGCGTGCTCGGCACCGCGCACACCGAGCGCGGCCTCACGTACGTGTCCGTCGACCTCTCGGGCCACATGATCCCGCAGTACGCGCCCAGCGCCGCCTTCCGCCAGCTCGAGTTCTTGCTTGGCCGCGTCGATAGCCTGAGTAGTCTGCAGCCTTTCACCACCGAGCCGAATTACCCGCAGCCCCCCGCCAGCGCGCTCGGCAACGGCACGGGACCCGCGACTTCCGCTTCCGGCGGGGGTAAGGCGAGTGCCGCCAAGGAGGGAAGCGACGCTGGCAAGAAGAGCGCGAGTGCGAAGCTACGCATCAGGGGCGCTGGTAGCGCGGCGGCGGCGGCGGGCGCGGTTGCTATGGGTTATTAGGTGTAGCCTCCTGGCAGCTAGGTACATACATAGCAGCTACTTAGGAAAGAATCCTAGTAGTTACATAATTGAGCCCTTGAGGTAGTAATGAAATGAAACTAATGAATGAATCCTATGAATGTCTTTTGAATTCTGTTGATGGTGACTGTTGGTAAAACTACCCAGGTACTAAGTCTACTGTCTGGATGTGAGGTAGGGGGGTAACTGCGGAGTACTACTACGCACGTACGATGAAATCGGGATGTCTGGTCGATGACAAGATTCCATTAATATATAGATATATAAATGTGTTAAACGTCTATAATAAACAGTATGGATGTTATAAATAAAAAATGAGTTAAAATAAAACAGAGGGTTGCAAGTGAATTGAACCTGCGTGAGTGACAAAAAGATGGGCGTAGGGTAAGATATGCCTCGCTGCAGAGCACCAACCAATTATTCCGGCGGACTAGCTCAATGAGCCAATTCTTCGCCTCGGGAAGGGAATCTAGACAGCCTCTCTTAGTGCGCCATTGCTAGTTGCTGGAAGGCAGACATTTAAGAATACCTATAAGGCCTTTGCAGCTTTGTCAGGTTGGCCAATGCACCGGTGACTACGTAGGTGCCTGGTACGCTGGTAAATTTACAACTTGTCAAAACACACGAGCCACCTTCGGAAATCATGAATTGTTTGAATAATCATACTGAATTGATACATGAGGGGAGTAGAAAAGCGAACTACACCATGTCCTACCCAACTAAGTCGTATCAGAGGGTTGTCATAGGGCATCGCCCGACTCGTCAATCCAGCCTACCGCTCATTCTCATCCCCCCTTTTCTCCCTTCGCTATGGTATCAACCCAAGTTACATTCGTCATGATAAATTCGAGAGTCCTCCCCTCCCGTTTTTGCTTCCTCCTAACTTAATCCCCAACGCCTTGCTAATTTTCAAATACCGGATATGGATATACAGGTTTTTTCGTGACAGTGATAGTGTTGCTCGAGGCCGGACGATCATGGCTCCAGGAGGCCCTTTCCTTCCCTTCGCTTGAGTTCCCTAAGCTCTCGCAACACGGAGAGGACGCCGTTGTTTCGCAGTCGTTCGAGGACAATTTTCATGCCGTCGCGAGACTTGATCATTTGGTCGTCAGTCTTGTTAGATGCGATGGACTCAATACTGCGCCGGATCCGCTCGGCACCCCAGCCAGAGATCCACTCGCCGAATCGCCGCGGACCATGTTCCTCGCCATCATCGACAGATTCGTCCGCCGTCCTCTCGTGTCTCTTACCGCCACCTAGAGTAGATCGGTAGGAAAAGGTCGTCGTAACGAAGGTGTTGGGGGTCAACGGTCGGGGAGCCGAGTGAGATACTGCCGACATAGCCTGATCAGGGGGAGTGGTGGAGTAATGTTGCTGCTCGACTACACTCAGCACTCCCGTGTAGTTTAGGTTCTTGCTCTCGGTCTTCATCCAGCCTTCCTTGATGTCTACGACGCTAGTCTCGAGGACGTAGCTTGACTTATCACCGCCTCCACCGGTGACACTGCTCGGCAACAACTTTACCACGGCCGACGGCAGACGAGTCTTCTTCATATGAATACGGGTCGTGTGCAGTCGACCGGTCTTGGGGTCGACGTGCGACGAGATAGTGTCGGTGGAGAGCACATGGCTCGAGAAAGGATTAAGCTGAGGCGAGTAGTACCTTAGGAAGAAGGCGAGGGTCACGGTCGGGAATGGGTGGGAGTAGGTGTGGTTGGTGGTGTGGGTGAGGACCATCTTGATAGTGGCGAATTCTTGCCTTTCCTCAAGTACAAGATTTAAATATCGACAACTTGAAAGCGGGGTCCAGAAAAGTACGGTAGCAGCGGTACGTAGTCGAGTCTCTCAGAAGGGTTTCGTCGGATTTCGATTGTAGACGTCCCTGAATCCAGAGTATTTAAATCGACATGAGGCTGGTTCGTGGAGGCTTCGATGCTCTTGCCTCGAAACCGTTTACACAAAATTTCACTATTTTCTTCCTTTCTCTTCGTGCCTCTTTTTGAATTGGATTGAAATGGGTATTGGCCTTCAATAGAGGCAAGTCAAATTAATATTTAAACACTCATGAGCAATTCGTAGATTGTTTGAGCGGGCGTAACTATGTATGTAATAAAGAAAAGGGGAAGGTGAGAGGAGGGGCGGGAGGCGGAAGATGATACCAGGTGATGCGATGATGTGTGTTTTCTGTGTGGTGGATGGTTGGTTCATGGCCTGTTGGAGCGAATAAATCGTCGCAGAACATTCGACCGCCAACTAATCCGTCCGAGCCCCGACGCTCAAAGCCAATTTTTAATCTGTAATAAATTGATCCGACCCGCCGATCGAATGCTTGGTCATGCTTTTGATTGGTCGAACCTTCTTCAGAATGCGGGGAAAGCTTAGTCCTTAAGTGGCAATGCCCAACTAGCATCATATCGACCAATCAAAATTCAGCATATACACACCTTCATATGCATTCTCCAGGCCTTACTGTAGACTTAAGCCAGACTGCCAGACTGAGCTTCCATCTGCCTACCGCTTCTGACAACTCGATGACGATCCTGACAAAGAGATGGGGTCCAATGCATATTTCGTATTCTTTTGTTCTCTTGTAGAAATTTCTGCCTCCACGGTAAGCCATTTGTAATGGACAAGACCAATGATCTCAGCGACGTCTTCGAGTCAGCAATAAGGCACGTGGCTATTTTCAGACCGTTGATGCCGGCTCTATGATGACAAAATCATACCATGAGCCGTTGGTTCAATGTCTGTGTATCGTCAAGTAAGTTAGCCTTAAAGTTTACTGCTTTATTACTATTCTTTGTTACAACGTTATAGCACTTGAATTCATCTAGTCGCAACTGCACCATGTCCTACACAGGCAGTTTCAATCTGAATCTAAACATTGAGGATTCAAATCTTCATATGAAAGCAATTGCGCGTCCTCATACGACAACATTTGATCTTCAGAACTGTGTGAAACATAGTACTACTACATATGTATTTCTCAATTCTATCACAGCTTATCATGTCCTACCTTCAATGTTTCACTAGTATGGAACGAATGTTCATTCATCTCATGCCACTTTATGGTCCTATCACGTGAACGAAATGCGAAAGATCAAGATTGTAGGTAGACTGTACATGTACAAAGTACCAACTCTATTGGTAATGGAATGCGATTAAGCGTTGATTGGTCAGTTGCCACTGTGGCGCGAGCTCCCCTGTAAGGCCCATTAGTTCCGGAACGAGCCGTTTACATCATCCAGACATTGTTAATCGATCAATTCAACTTTTTCAACCGCCAACGATAAACTGTTTGAAGATATCGTGAAAGCGAAACCACATAGTACTGTGGACAGCGCATCAAGATGTTTTCGCGACCATTATTCTCGGCGGTATGCCCCTCTTGAGTCTATCGTCTACCGTCTATCGCAAGAAATCATTATGACTAATGCCTCTTTCGATGCCAGACGCTGCGACAAGCCGCCCGTCCCTTAGCCCGGCCGGCCACATACAACCTCAGACCTGCACCGTTTCTAACATCTTTCCAACAACGGCTACTATCTGAGCACACGAAACAAGCGATCGAGAAGGCGGTTGCATCCGCGCCGGTGGTGTTGTTTATGAAGGGGACACCCGAAACCCCTCAATGCGGCTTCTCCCGCGCCAGTATCCAAATACTGGGTTTGCAGGGTGTCGACCCCAACAAGTTTGCCGCCTTTAATGTCTTAGAAGACCAAGAACTCCGATCAGGTATGGATTACCGTTTGATATCTTAAGGCAAGGGAAGAAGGAAAATGAAAACCCACAACTAACATGGCGATTGTTGGGAATAGGTATCAAGGAATTTTCCGACTGGCCTACGATCCCGCAACTCTATATCGATAAGGAATTCGTCGGTGGATGCGACATCCTCGTTTCCATGCACCAAGACGGCTCTCTAGCTAAGATGTTAGAGCAGAAGGGTGTCCTAGCTCCCATAGAAGGGACATCTGAGTCTAAGGAATGAAGGAATATAGAAAGGCAACAACATTAAAAATAGAGCATCGGACAGCCAGGCGTGACTTGTACAACCTGGTCGTATATCAAGGCATTATGCATATGTACTTTAGAGACGAGTACTTAGCTGGGTCAGCTAATGAATTAGGACAGCATATAATGAGGACGACTAAGTCATACATGAGACGTAAGGAACATACACATGTGGTGTGGTGAGAAGACGCTGCATATGGCCACACAGTATAGCACCTCCCTAAACTTATCTCAAATTTCTCACTACGTAGGTACCTACTTCATGATTTAATCTACCATTTCTAGCCCAAGCACCCCGTACCTCAAGGCCACAACCAAAGCCTCACAGAGGATACGCAGCCCCATCACCCCTGGGATCGCTGCCAGCAGACCACACCCCAACACCCTCAACCGGATCCACGCTCCAGCGAATGATCTGCCCGCGCCCGAACTGCGCCCTCTCCATATCCGTCAAGACCTTGACCTCGTGCCCGAGCTTCTTCAACCCGTCCACCGTATCCGCCGACATGCCCTCCTCCACGTACACCATGCGATCGCTCTTCCCCTCGCCGCCAGCGCCGATGCACACGCGCGGCGCGTCGAGCGCCTGCTGCGGGCTCAGGCGTCCGACGACCTGGCCGAGGAGCACCTGCACGTGGCCCTGGGGCTGCATGAAGCCGCCCATGACGCCGTACACGCTGTGCAGCGAGCCGTCGTGCAGGTTCGTGACCAAGGCCGGGATGATGGTGTGGTACGGCCTTTTCCGGGGAGCCAGCACGTTCGGATGACCCTTCTCCAGACTGAAGTTCGCCGCGCGGTTCTGCAGCGTGAAGCCGCACCCGCGCGGGATGATGCACGTCCCGAACCCGCCGTAGTTGCTGTTGATGAAGGAGATCGCGTTCCCCGAGGAGTCGGACGCGGCGAAGTACACGGTGTCGCTGCTCTGCAGGGCTGGCGACCCGTGGGTTAGTACGTCGGACGCCCTTGTAGGGTCGAAGAGCGCCGCGCGCGAGGCGAGGTACGGTGGCGCGAGTAGCGAGTCCGTGGGCACGTCGGAGACGTTCGGGTCGGCGACGAACCAGGCCGCGTCCGCGAAGCTGATGCGCAGGGCCTCGATGATGGCGTGCAGGTACGGCGCCGTGTTGAAGTCCGCGGCCGAGAAGGTCGGGATCTTGCCTTGCGACTCCAGCTCTTGGATTATGCCGAGCGCCATCAGCGCGACGATCCCCTGCCCGTTGGGCGGGTGCTCCCAGAGCTCGAGGCCGAGGTCCGGGGCGTCGCTGCCGGAGTCGGAGTTGGAGGAGGTCAGGACGCTGTCTTTGAGGAGGTCGCGCACGTTCTGGCCCCGGAACTTCAGCGAGATCGGGGACACGGGCTCGCTGCCCGTTTCCATGTGGTGCGCTAGGTCGTCGAACTCGAGGTGGCCGCCGAGGTCCTGTACGACTTTGACGAGTTCGGTCGCGATGCGCCCCGAGTAGAACCCTTTCTTGCCTTCCGTGGCTAGGGTCCGGAAGGTCTGGGCCAGAGCGGGATTCTTCATGATTTCTCCCGCTTTAGGAGCGCGCGCCCCGTCCTGTGCGCTGGGGTCCTTTTTGAGCATCTCGCTGCCGTTGGGGGAGGCTCTCCTGATTTGCGGTTCGGATTTGTTCCACTATCGGAGTAAGAATAGGGATAACGCTTATTTTCGAACTAAGGGGAAGGGAGCTTCTGCTTACGAAATACGCGACCCCTTCAGCGACAGGGAAGCCCTTCTCGCCGAGCTCGATCGCCGGTGCTAGGACCTGCTGCAATGTCACCTTGCCGCTGCCGAACCGTTCGATCGTGTCAACCCATCCGGCTGCCGCTCCCGGCACAGAGACGGCGTGCACGCTAGACAACGGAATCTTGCCAGACTCGCCGTCCTTAAGGCCTAAGGAGCTGCGGATGGTCTCGAGGGTGCACTTGTTCCCTGAGCGACCCGAGCCATTCATAGCGGAGACCTGTTTCGTCTTGGCGTCGTAGAAGAGGCAGAACATGTCGCCGCCTATGCCAGTGGAACACGGCTCCGTCATGTTGAGGCCGGCCGCTAGAAGACCTCATCAGCAAGTAAATTTCACTTTATATCGCGTCATTTTGTGAGACGTACCGACGGCTACCGCCGCATCCTAGATACAGTCATGAGTAGATATTCTGATGCCATGTTATGTAAATGAGCACGTACAGCACAGTTGCCACCCGCTTCCAGCACCTCGATGCCGCATTTTGCCGCCAGCGGTTGCGAACATGACACGATACCCTTGGTACTATGGACTACGCTTCGACGACTAGCAAATTTGGAAAACACATGGGATTCCGGAGGGAACACAGATGGCGTTGTGAGAGGCATGATGGATTCCCAAGGATGAGCGAACAGCCACAATCCCGTTCGAGGACGGCGGTTAGTTGGTGTTTAATGTCGTGTTTATACTGTTCAATTCGCGGGGTATCAACCAAACGATCATGAAACCGATGCCGTCAGACTGAGACAAGATGTTATACTTTTTTCCTAAAATTACCCCTCGGGTGAATAATAATCGACGATGATGTCGAAACGCAATTGATTCAACTATCATATCTATCTGTTGCGCTTGCGCTTCCACCCGAATAGCTAACCATCCTTGGTAAAAGACTGATAGACCAACTCTACTATAGCGCACTCAGCGCCCCGAGTTTCGGAGCCGTCCGATTGCGACCTCTTCGGCTACTTCCTAATCCGGGAGAAAAAGTATGGCCAATTGAAAGTTACGTTACTTATACCTATTCATAGTTTCAATTCGACGCCATCTTAAGGGTGAGAAACATGAGTGAGCTCTATTTCTAGGTACTTCAAAAAGAAAGAAGAGGTTGTACATTCTAGGTAGGTTCTAAAAAAATGCGAAGGTTCTGTTTAGAAGGAGGGGAATTTCTCTTAATCCTTCTTGATTACATAACATCGCACAGTGCAGTATCTTCTTCCTACCCCTTATTATTTACCCCTATATCCCCTACCCCGCCTAGGACTTCAAAGCTGCGCCGCAACATGCTGCTGCAGCGTACCTTCCGGCCAAGGAGCCGGGCCCGGGGAAGTATCATTCCCCAGGTAGGACCAAAAGACCGGAATCAGCACTCCAGTTTCGTCTCCCTCATACACGCCAGGGATCTGGACCAGCGGTCCTATCGCTTCATCGCCTAGTTACCCCCAACTTCATGGCTTTATATTATCCCTAGAGGCGACTCTGATCCGCGCGCAAGACCCGTGGAACTGCGCCTGGGCCCATTTATGCGCCGCGTGCAGCGCCAGCCCTTCAGCCCGCAGGAAGTACTCATCTGGTGGCGTCGCAGCCGGCAGCATGAACCGGAAACTTCGGATGCTGTGCGTCGCCCACACGAGCGCCTCTGCGCCACTACCATCATCTTCATGGACTTCCCCAGTTGCATTCGTAGGCGCCGTTGTCAACGAGCACTTTGCTGGATGCCCAGGTGCCCGAAGTGTTCATCTATGTCAAAGCCAAGTGAGTCACCGGCGCGCACGCTGTATGTCTCTGCTGGCTGACCGCCAGCATTACACCGGAAGTCCGTGGAGTCCACGTTTGTGAGCCGTGTGTCGGAGTTGCTGTGGCGTCGGATATATTGCCATGGCTCCCCGACTACTTCGTCGTCGATGATGAGCCGGTTGTAGGTCCAGTGCGCAGATACAAGCCACGTGGTGATTTAAATGGCTGGGAGATGGAAAATATTGCAGAGCATTGTGGTACTGCATAGTATGGGTTTCCTATATCCGCTTTAGGTATATATGAACATACCTATATAAACGATCGCATTCTCGCATATTTTGGTCTTTATGTCTGTCTACCTATACAGCTAATCTCGCAGATCAATTACCCCTATTCACAACACCGATAGCATAGAGGCTAAATACAACTATCCAGGTACCTATATTCCACTGCCGTGTTTTAAACATCCAATCCCATTGCACCAGTACGACATCAAAAGACAGCATTCAATAGCAACTTACATAAGTAAAAAATAACTTGGCAGGATAGTCAAAGTTCTCATATCATCATTCGCCGTCCTACGCTGCGTACATCCACCAAGTAACATTGCCAGCCTTACCCTGGGCCGTCGCAGATTAGAATGATAAACAATAGGTACCTAAGTTCACGGTGCTAGATCAGTTTTCAAGTGTGTACCATATATTTTGCTATCCTGTTATCTTATATAATTGTTACTTGGCATAGAACTCAACAGCGCCTCCAGCGCGGTAGCTCAATACGACTACTAAAGCAAATGCCATATGTAAGGTGCATCCAGAGCCTTATAGTCCGCCAGATCATGGGTAAGACTATCTTTATTTAACCTTGCCATTCTGCGTCGATGATCCATCTCATAGCATCTGGAGGCCGATGAGCACCCAGATACTTGAAGCGAGGATCAGCCCGCTGAAGTAACTCAGGCCACTCTTTGAATTCTCGTTCCTTCGCATTCAGGAGCTGAAGCATTCCTATATCCATGTTGCTTATAACGATTAGTTCTATGATGATGTAATAGCTTAGGTCAGTGACTGGAGGGCTTACATTGTTCGTCGAGCATCTTCTACCGATACAGTCGCTGGATCTGGCATTATACGGTCATGTATGATGATCTTGGCGCCGGGTCTAAGGACCGGTATGAGATTTCGCAGAATCTGGATGCAGTACTTGTCGGCCCAGTTATGGAAGATGCAACGGAAGTAGTACACATCGCCAACGACTGTCTGCTCATTGAAGAAGTCGCTAAATAGCTCCAAATTAGTATGACATTTCTAGCTGAGGCTGGTAGTTCGGTTGACTTACTGTGGCATGAATGTGACTCTGTCTTTGAGTTCAGGAGGTAGCCTAGCAGCCCCTTCCTTCACGTTGACCGGCAGGTCCTGTACAACGCACTTGATGTTCGGGAATCTCTTCGCAAGACTGATAGACATACTTCCGTGCGACCCCCCGACATCTACCACTGTCTCATTGCCCTTCCAGGGATAATTATCAGGTAGTAGATGAGGCGGGTCTCTGTCCGCGAAGAAATATCTCCCAAAATTTTCCGCACGATCAGGGTATTCGGCAAGCGTAGCATACATGCCTTTATCAGTATTGTTGGCGAGGGTGAACCCCTAAGGTATTTCATTAGTGCTTCTTCCACGATTCCTCTCTAAAAGCAGAACTTACAGTTTCATTGTTCTCTTCAGAGTTAGGCCATTTTTCCATCGCGTCAGCCATCTAGGTATGCAGGTCAGTATTTCTTCTCTTAGATCATTGGTGGACTTACCTTAGGTGCTGAAGGCCAGAATTCGTCTAGCTCGACAATGATGGCAGCTCGAGCCATCTCGTCCTGGGCTACAATGGCCGTAAGCGCGGAGTGGGTTATCACACCAGGGGTTTTCTCTTGGAAGAAATTGTGGTTGATGATAGCGTGTCTGACAACTCGCTGGACGGTGTTCACATTTAGACCGGAAAACTTTGACATTGCTTCGAATGTGGTAGACTCGCCCACAGGAAACGACTTGTCCAACTCGAAGCGAATGATTGCCTTTACACTAGTATATGCAGTCCACTATAATTATTTGTTAAAACAACTTGTTTTTCCTTAAGAAGAGGGATAGCTTACATCAACGCGTAACAAGGCTTTTGGACCAGTGACCAGTGCTTTCAGCTCAGAACAGGCTACCATAATAGCTTCTCGAGCCGCCTCAATATCTTTGGCAGTCTCTGGTATAGGTAGAGACCGGAGCGCATCGGCCTCGAGAGAGGGTGTAGGCAATCCATTCTCGGTGAAGAATTTGTCAAGCTTGGCCGTCTCTTTAGCAATGATAGAGGAGAGCTCTACGATCCTACTTTGAGACGCCATTTTTCATTTACTTCGGAAAAAATAAATGAATAGCAGTATCAAATTGCTTGTCTACTCTCGTTAGATACAGAAGAAGTGAGATGAGTTCGATGTTGCCAGATATTAAATAGAGGGATAAGAACTTAGGGCCTTTGTTCTGCATTTATATAACATCTACCTACGTATACCTATCTACTTTGGAAGCGGTACCGGGGTACATGGTGCAGGAGTCACATACATACATATGTAGGTCATGCTAGTCCGCGTGGCTCCTGTGACACAGGACTCGGACAAACTACTATTAGGTATTAGCTGCATGTAGGTGCTTTTGTGGTGTGAATAAGTTGAATCTAACGATCGTAACATCTGCATGATAGAGGATAGTAAGTCACAGTATATGATATTCTTTCGTCTTCATTCCTGTATATAGGGCTGACCATTGTTTGGTGTTGATTGATGATGTAGGTGATGACATACCTAGGTACATATTTAAAGTTGCATCTTCACGTCTCCTTGCAGGACACAAGACATGTCATGTACATCCCTAGGTAGGCATGATCTTCCATTCGCTTAAGCGGGAAGTTCCTCCAGGATCCAAGCTTTGATAAAATGACATATCTTATGTATGTATTACCCTAGTAGAATTCTTTTGAAGGGATATGATTTGTTATATGTATGATACCTGGGCAGCAAGAACTATATGTTGATATATCTATAATCCGCACGGTGAGACAGAATTGCGACATAACGTCGTATTCTTGATTTGTAATTCAACCTTATCGAGACCTACCACATATGTAATCCTTAAAAATTCCTGTCAACCCATTGAGGATATCTCTATATACGATCCAGGCATATCGTGCAACGGTACCATTCAATGGCAGGTAGCCATGAGGCGACATATACCTCCGACAGTCGCAACTTGTAACCTAACAATATTCTGGTCTTTACATTGGGTAATCTAGGAATTGTAATCCGACAAAAGCTGGGCGAATTGTAGAGGTTTCCCATCATTTAGATATTATCTTGACGTCAAGGAAGAGCCCCCAAAGTTGAATTGACCCTTAATTAACTACATACCTCTACCAAACCTGATTACCTTTACGTCACGTTTCCTTCATTCTAGGGCTTCCCCTTCTCAGGAAACACCGGGTGCTTAATTATATGCATGGCTTGCCCATAGCAGGATTACCGAATGAACTTCTACATGAAAAGAAGAAATTAAGAATCTTCAAGATGAGGTCCAGTTATTAAAACTTGGTATATGCGCAAGTATGGTTCGTTATGAGATTAATTCACACATGGAATGGATATAGTTATCGTCATATGATATTCTGTTATGACACTTTACCTTTAAGCAAAGAGCTTCTTACATGTTTGGTTACCTAAGGTTAGCAATTAAGACGGTAGTATATAGTCTAAGAGCAAATGCTTTCATTACGCCAGTACTTGATGCGCACATTAATAAAAGTATGTGAGTTATCTCGGTACTGCTCAGTCGGCTATGGGACGTTGTTGACTAGATGAATGAGATTATAGGAGAGCATCTCATAGTAAGTAGTAATTATTATTAATATCTCTCAAGGGACCAAGATATCTTCACTATTATAGGTAGGTACCTAACTAGTTGGACTTCTTACGATCTTATAAAATTAAACGTAAAGAAATACTAGGTCTATTTTCTAATGGTCTAAAGGTGAAGTTTGAGAAACTATGATTCTGATAAGTTTATCTACTTAGATAAGTAAGTGTGGATAGATGAGCCATGAAGTTTTCCCGGTCTATACGGAATATTAACTCATCTCGGTACTTTTGTCTTCGAACAATGATGTTTGTGAATTGGCTTACCTAGGTATTTACATTATTAACGGAGCACTTAGGAGAAGTATCGAACTTCGTTGGACTCCTATGATGTCCTTTAGATTACCTATGAGTTAGAGAGACGTCGGATCGATGCAACTTTTTTCCGCCGAATCTAGATTGTCGCTAGTTCAAATGACGATACTCTACTGACTTGGGATGGCCAAGGTGCTTTTGGGACATATTTAGGTACGGATTGCATCCCCTAGACTCCACTAGATCAGCACTATGACCATTATGGTTAGCATCCAATATTGAGAATAGTGAATAGGTCCCATCATGACTAACTGACGGGCTATCTTGGTTTTATTCTATGAAACCTTATGCACTAGAAGAAAGGTGGCACCTTATGCCAGTCTGACTAATGGATATCGCTTCGTTTTCATTATGTAACTTATACATTGAGTCGCGGTCAGGAGTTGCCACATCAGTGACTTTTTTTACTAAGAAAACACGTAAAAGAACGATATAAATTCAAGCAACTAAGACTGTAATCTTGAATCAGGTGGTAGTGTACCTAGGTAATCATATCTTTTGTATTCAATAAGGTGTAATGCCTCACGACAGTGGAAAACTACCTAGGTACTATCTATGATTTTGTAATACTTACTACTGGGTAGGTATTTGTTAAAATAATTTTGGTAATCATCCTAAGGAGAAAATGGTTGAAAGCTGTCGTGATGGTGTGCTCACTGAGCCGCATCAGAGACCTACACAAATTAAACTTCCCAGATCTGGGACCCGACACGGGCGTTAAGTAGAATTTCCCGGGTCAAAAGAACAATTCTAGATGCACAGCTTTCTTAGGGGATAGTGATTTATATCACTGTTACCTGACTGTTGTACGGTATATGGAATATCTACCGAGACAATAGAGAGGAAATAGGGTTAGAGGAACCTTATATGAATGGTGACTAGACTTGTCCTAATCATCTTTAACGTCTGGTGGAAACGATGCCTAAATAACATATTACTTGGATCTCCGCAAGGCATATGATCTGCGGAAAACCTAAACGCTCATTGGAAACCAATATGGTCCGTGTTAGATGGACACAGCGTCGTCTCATTCTCGAACGATAGAACACCACGAATCTGGAAAATGGGAATCGGTGAGTACAGCGAGATGCTCACAGTGGAATCGCATTCATGACGTTGCAAACTGACAGCAAAGCTTCCCCAGTGCCTGTTGACTAAGACAGGGGGTTTCGCATTTATGACCGCCTTGACAACGCATCCTCGGTTAACATTTGAGCGCTTCCTAACTGGTATCCCTGCGACCTGACATCTGAAGACTGCAAAAATCACGTGCAAGTATTAGAAGTTGATCTTCCCGCTTGGTAAACATAATAACTCCATATGATTGGTTGCGAAATAGTATTAGAAAACAAATGGTAATAAGGTGTTGCACGTGAGGCCGAGTTCGCTACCTATTCAAATCGCCGAGAACATGAGTCTAAGAGATAAATCTTACAGCTAGTTGATTGTAGATGTAGGTAAATGCACTAGTCATGCAGGTCTATGCAGCCAGAAAGCCGAGAGACGGGAAATTCCAGGGATATTAGGTTTTTCTAGCATGTGGAATACTTCTTTGAACACCATGGAGAATTGCCAAGTGTGATCGTGTGCGTTGCAGATGTAGAACTGAAAGGGTTTATTAAACCTTGATCCTGCGTCTTCGACCGCTCTTCAGGGTCTGGTGAAGTTTGCTTACTGTACCTATGATAGGGTCATTCATATTGGATATTTAATATTTGCTTCGTCCAACTTCATCAAGCGAACGATCAAACGAACGGGGTTTGATAGGAGGCCTCATTTTGGAAGTTTCCATTGGGTGAGTGTGGAGATAATAATGGAGATCTGGCTAGAGTCTGGAGATAGTAAAAGGAGATAATTTTGCCGTCCGCCTATGGGAAATTTTCGTCTTTCTCATCTTGATAATAAAAGTGTGTAACAAGGGTCCATGGAAAACCCACCTAGAATTTTTTGTACGAGACGCGATTGGTCAGGATCGACAAGCATGCCGGCGCACTAAAAATTTGCAGCAGGGATTGGCTCGTTTGAGTTCCTTGGATCTAAATAAGGAAACTTACTTAGATTTGGATTAGTAGGGCTCAACTAAACCATCTTTCGAACCGTGCTGGCATACAACTAGAATAGCAGATGAAGAAGACCCGCTTTCCAAGGACCCAAACCCTACCAAACCCCAGGACCCCTATCTGGAAATAAGAGGACAATGGGAGGACCCGGCAGAACGTTGAGAAGAACCTCAACGAAGATTTGCGTTCCAGACCCCCACGTGTAACTCGTAAGAGATTTAGTGGAGTATCGTGAAATATCAAGCAACCCCTATTCCTCAAAGGTACCCCAGGGGAGTACTAGGGTCTAGCTTCGTACAGGGTTGGCGGGTAATAAAACCAAGCGATAAGATTTGTCTGAGGGAAAAATTTCTGCAAACATTCAAAACGAGGGCGGTGAGTTCGAGAGTTCTTTTCTTCTCTCTACTTCTAGAGACTGGTGAAAAGAGTGTTGGATCGTAGGGGCCATCTAAGCAGTCCTCCAACTAGACCAGAACAATCACAATTCGCTGGGCGTATTCCTGTTGCTTCAGTCGGGACTGAACCTTCATCATGTCGACGATTACGCAGGTCGAAGTACCTGCCGTAAAGGCTCGCACAGGTCAATTGGTGAGTGAAGACGCGTCTCAAGCCAGGACGATGCGAATACTCTGTGCTAACACCACGTGGTAGAAACTCAAGGCAGAGCAAGCGAAGCAGGAGTTTCCAGATATCAACACCATCCGAAAGGCTATTCCCGCTCATTGCTTTAAGCCCTCGACATTGAGGTCGCTAGGCTATGTTGCGCGTGATCTCGCCATGGCCGTTGCTCTCGGGTATGCTGCTTTGACATACATTCCGTCTGTGCCCAACCAAGCCTACCGGACCCTGCTGTGGACCGCGTACGGCTTTCTGCAAGGTCTTGTCGGCGTCGGCCTCTGGATCTTAGCACACGAGTGTGGTCATGGCGCTTTCTCAGTCCATCGACACCTAAACGACTTCGTCGGTTGGGTTTTGCACTCGGCACTAGGCGTCCCATTCTTCTCGTGGAAGTTCTCCCACGCTCGCCACCATCGTTTCACCGGCCACATGCAGAAGGACATGGCCTTCGTCCCCAGAACGAGCCCTTCCATTTTTATGCAATCTCTGTCGAATATGTTTAGCTTCGTAGACATGGACGTTCTGGAAGATGCACCTTTCGTCAATTTGATCCGCCTGCTCGGCCAGCAACTAGGAGGGTTCCAGATTTACTTCCTCCTCAATGCGACAGCTGGAGACGAGAGCATGCAGAACTTGGACGCCAAATGGTGGAGACGCAGCCACTTTGATCCTTTCAGCGGCGTCTTCCGTCCTCAAGAGGCGCTCTACGTCCTGATTTCCGACCTCGGCCTTGCGCTTGTTTGTGCCGCCCTTTACTATGGTTCATTGGCTCTCGATTGGCAGATGGTGTTCTTATTATACGGGGTTCCGTACCTCTGGGTCAACCATTGGCTAGGTTAGTTGAATGTCCCGGAACGAATCCGAGTGGTTAGACGATTAACGATGCAGTAGTGGCTATTACGTACCTCCACCACACTCATAAGGATGTCCCTCACTACGATGGTGAGAAGTGGTCCTTTGTTGCGGGCGCCCTCGCGACCGTTGATCGGGACTTCGGTTTCATTGGCCGACACGTTTTCCACGGCATTATCGACACTCACGTCGTTCATCACCTATTCTCGTAAGTAAAGCTGACGAACGAGCGCAGTGTTTTGCTTTTGCCTTTATAGTATGCTAACATCTGTTAGACGCATTCCCTTTTACCACGCGGAAGAGGCTACACGGGCGATCAAGCCGCTTCTTGGCGATCTCTACCACTGCGACGATCACTCGTTTATGGCCTCTCTGTGGGAGACGTCTCGCGCGTGCCAATACGTGGAAAACGACCCGGCCAACCCTGGCGTTATGAAGTGGCACGAATAGTCTTCTTGACTTAGGAGTTGTAGGGCATTATGCATATACATCGTCCAGAGCTCTTTTCTCTGGAATGGGATATATAAAAGGCGTCGATACCTATTGATAGACATGGCAAATAGACGGAGCAGATAGAATAGAGCGTCATAGAGGTATGTTGTGTTAATCTAAGCTATTCCGCCTCATAATGAGGGAGGAGTACATACCTATTATTCGCAACATGGGCCGCAGCCGTACCTATTCGTACCTATCAGAGTGACTCGGTTAATTACAGGCAACCAATTGGATATGAGGGCCAATCTCATTCCGTATTGGAAAAGATAGAAAGTTCTATCCATAACCCAGTGAGCGGAGCTGAATATTGCTATATCAGCATCCACTAATATGCGAGGGGGAACCTGAGCCCGTTTTCTAGATATGAACATTTCGATGAAGATATTCGAGATTCGAATTTGTTTCTGATTGTGACGTCTTTCGCCCGTGCATCGGCGGAACTCTGGTCTTGGTCACCTGAAATCTGGCGGCTGCTCCTAGACGATGCACTTGCATGTACCCCATGAAGCTCATATAGGTGGGACCTCCGAACCTCATGCCTCACTAATTGTCTGTCTCATATATGTCAGCATTGTATCCGTTCATCTTTTACAGCCGTTCAGCGCAATCTGGCCCACTTTCAATCGTAAGATTTACGTCTAACCATTGCTAATGTAATGGAGCGCGAGCCATCAAGGAAAGAGGCTAGAGCCTAGATCTTGCGAAAGGTGTCGATAGTCGAGCTTCACTAGAAGCAAGCTGAGTTTCAATAGGAAGGTAGGCATGGATGGTGCTGATACGCGCTCAAGTCGGCGACTATGTCTAATGGCTACTTACCTAGCCATATGTCATGCATGACGCAAGCAGAGCAAATTCCGGGAAACGACCGTAAGCGGGATACTTTGTTTACCTAGGTCTGGAGGAGCTGATCATCAGGGGTGTCTATCATGTCGTAGATGGTCTTCACCTTGCTGCGCGCTGCAGACGGTGTTCGCCGCGTTCCACGAGGTGAACGTCGACTTCGTTAGCTTGCGGTTCGAAGACCTGTCAAGCCTTATCGCCCACCTCGGCGACCAGAAGAACTACGGCGAACTCGAGGTAAGCCCCTCCTCTTATACTACCCAGCCATTGACGAAGATCCCGCTAACCCCGCTCTAGACCTTCTCACCTCGCTGTGGCGGTCCCGCGAGGTCCAGCGCAGCTGGTCGCCCGTGGTGGTGCTGCACATCGGACAGCTGCTAATCGACGCGCACGTATCGGCATCGCATGTAGATAGCGCCGTCGCGCTCGCCGACATCCTGTACTATGACGTGCGGCAGTCGCGCGGCAGCCTCGACACGCACTCGCTCGCCTTCGCGCACAAGCTGTCCGTGCTACTCACGCGCCGGCGTGGCGACGGGGTTGTGTGAGAGGCTGGGACGGAGGTACGGCGCGTTAACACTGCCGAGCGTGGATAAATGGGGCGCTGTGGACGTGAAGAAAGATCGAGAGGTCACGTACGCCGGGCCGACGACGTGGAGCCTAGTCGTGGAGAAGGAGACTGTGAAGAGGGATTTGATATCCCCTGCCAAGGAGCGCTGTGGCTGGCACTCGAGAGGCCCGGCGACGGTGTTAGAGGGGGTTCTTGTTGCTGGTACGAGGCAGGTAATGCGGTGATGAAGCGGAGGATATATCACTCTTTGGCATCAGATTTCATTTTGTCTCTCTACTTTGGACATACTTCTATTCCCTATCTGTCGTTTCCGTTCTATCTTGTCGTTAACGCGGCTTAGAGTAGTGACTTTTCGTGGCGATAAAGATCTCAATCCACCTGTGTTTGAGGATAGGGGTCAATACGCAATAGAGTAGGACGACACCGTAGACTTCCTACTACAAACCCCTAGGTAGTAAATTTGGAAGTCGCCCGGCAGCTAGGTGAATTGTCGGTACGAAATACATCATAATTACCTCGCCTACTACCTAAAAAAGGAAATCAGCTATGTCATGAATGGCCCAAGCTCCCAGGTGTTCCTGGAAGGAAGCTGCAAGGAAGGTCCCAATCAGATCAATGACATCAGACTGATCGGTCTGCGTATTTCACTCTTGATCTTTGGTACATATTTCAAGACATGCATCTACCTGCCTACCTGGTTTATCTGATAGATTCTTCATCTTACATACGTACATCACCTCACTTTACCCAACGCATTCCAATATTAAATATTTCAAATCTACTACCTACCTAAGTATCCAGCAACCATGACAACGACCAGGTCCGGTGCGAAATCCGAGCCAGCTTCTAAGAAGGAGCATGGTGAGGAAGCCGGCTCGAAGCACCAGCTCGATACGAAAGGATCTCCAGAACACAAGCGCTCGAAGAAGAATGACGGCGACAAGAAACAGCAGACAATCGAAGATACTCTTCCGAGGTATAAATTTACCGTGGTATGATCGGAAAGCAATTGCTGATATATCTCTAGCCCCACTGAAGCCTACGGCGACAGCAAGAACCGAGCGTCGCCCGGCGGTAATAAGAATGGAGAGGACGAGAAGAGCGAAAATGGCACAGACACTCGAGAGGAATCAGATCGCGTCGGCTCAGCCGAGCAAGAAGGAGCAAGGGAAGGCGTCGTCCCATCTAACATTCTAGAGAAAGGCATCATTTATTTCTTCATCCGTGGTAGGGTGGGTATCGACGAACCGAGCAGCGTGGATGACATTCGTCGCAGCTACATCGTTCTGCGACCGCTTAGTAAAGATGCGAAGCTCGGTGAGGGTACGATCGACGACGCTGGAAATAGCCGCGTAATCGCTATTCCCAAAAAGGTGCTTCCCTTGAGTGGTAAGGATAGGTGGATCGCATTCGTCGAGAAATCCCACGCCTCGTTTCAAACGTTGAAGGATGAGTTCATCTCAGCTTCTGACTACGAAACCAAGACGGCTGGCGTGCGACACACGCCTGCTGCTACACCCATAGCGGAGGGTATCTATGCTATCACAACTACCGGGCGTGAGAGTCATCTTGCGTATATGATTACCTTGCCAGAGGATCTCGGCGAAGTGCAGAAAGAGATCGGTCTCAAAGAGAAGGGAAGCTTTATTATCAGCACCAGAAATCCGCAATATGAAGCCCCGAAGGGCGTTTCAATCCCCAAGGGCCCAGATTATCCTAAGGAGTAAGTATATGGCTGTGTTTCTTCGTTACGTCGTAATCCTGCTAACACAGTTCAGAGTCCTAGACGAATTCAGGGCCCTGCGATGGTCCGGAACCCAACCCAAACACCTTGATTACGTTAACACCCAATTTCTCCTCGTCGGCGAATCGAGCGGTATCGAGAAAGCAACCGAGCCGCAGAAAGAACAAAAAGAGGGACAGGAGAAACCGATAGAAGAGCTAGAGAAGTTGGAGGATGAGGATACCCACCGGATGGAGAGCTTACAAGGAGACGACTCGGCGGCTATCTTTGCGGATCTGCAAGCAGGCGCTAAAGACTATCCTAAATTGCAGACCACGTTCTAAAGTTTCGAATGCAAAAAGAAGAAAGAAAATGTAAATGTAGTTTCGTACGGAGGGAAAGGAGGGAAATCGATGTGACCAATAGCAACAAGACAATGAAAATTCGACATAGGCGGCTGCTAAATACCGAGGTACATCTCACGCGATGCTTAGGTGCATAACATGTAGATAAGGCCGTTGACCAATAGGGCTAAACGCAATTGCTTATTTGTAGTTTTAACAAGCTCAGATTTTCATCGAAGTCCCACACTGATCTCGATTCGTCTAGTGGTTAGGATACCTGCTTGTCATCTTGAATTCGCAGGTGGCCGGGGTTCAATTCCCCGATCGAGAGAGTATCACAACATTACAAGTTTTCTTTTTATGTTTTGTGCATGCCATCTTGAGAACTCATTTGATGTACTAACTTGTAAGCCTCTTCACTTTTCGTGAAAATTTCGTCTTTATTATTCTATTAATTATGTTACAGTTTCTATGTACCTATTCTTTTGACATGGAAACACTGAAATGAGGTTATCTATGCTGACGCTGATGTGTTTGTTGGGTTAAGTGGTAAAACCGTGACCTTAGGTGTCTCCCAGATATCCCAATCATATGAGACTTGAGGGTCACCGAAGGGCCTTAAAGTAGCAATGCGAAAGCTGTTAATGGCGCCAATTAGTAACCCGACAACTACCCAACGACAGACGGTACATTTTATAGTAGAAGAGAGGACGGGAAAACTTACTGGTATTCACCAGGCTGGATGCTCGAGCCGTTGGCGAACCGTCCTAGCCAGTAGTAGATGCCCCATTTGCCACGGGGCTGGGTGTATAGCGGAAACGGGAAGATGTCGTCCTCGCTATCCTGGCCCGGCGTGAACCATTGAGACGTAGCCGTGCCGTTCCAACTTGTGGCCGACCCGACATAGCCGTTCTCGCCAATGACTGGTGGATATTTCCACTGTGCCTCCGTATATGTAGCGTCGAATATCTGAAATAACAATTAATTAGATTAGGTAATCATTTAAAAAAGAAAATAGAATCTCAATTAGTCAAATAGAGAAACTTACATCCCACCGCAGCTCTTCCGTTCCCCAAGCAAATTCGGTGTTTAGCTTAGGGAAGTCCTGCGATTCACGAGACAGATTGAACGTGAAACTGGAATCAGAAGGTTAGCATATCCCATATTGAAAGCGGCGCACATGTGATGCAGTATACGTTAACAAAATAGAGCATACTTACTTTGATTTCTGCTGGATTCGGTTGTCGGAGACGCCAGAGGTCAGGTAGGGGAAATTGCTACCGAAGTCCCATATGTTGGTGATAGTCTGGTTGAGGTCGCATGCGACACCTATTCATCATGATTAATGGACGCCCAGAAGTACGTAGAGACAGATGTTTGCTAGTAACTAACCGAAGTAAGGAACGCCGAGCTCCTCGCCGTTGTCGCCGCTTATCAGGATCTTGCCGCTGTAAACAGGTAGACTGGTCGTGTTGAGTCCTTCCGGGGCAGTGAAAGTAAACCTGTAATTGTACCGTTAATCGCAAGATTCCCGAATTTTTGAGAAGTTTCTGCTTCGCTTAGCACACGTACTCAGCCGTCTTCGTCTCAGCAGGCCTGACAACAAATTCTCCATCGGGGAATGCGACCCCCGGCGTCATTTTCGAAGGGATAATTTCAGAGTAAAGCTTCAAAGCAGGGACAAAGGACTGCGGCTTCCCCGGCACGACGGGCCTCCAGGAGTCGTAGCCGCCAGCATCCTGCAGCGAGAAGGAATACGTGACAGGCTTGGTCCCGTAGTTCGTGATATCCACCGAGTGCTTGCCCGCGAAATGGGCCGTATCGTTGAGCTCGAACTTGCGACCCTCGAAGCTGAGCTCCGTGGTGGAATCCAACACCCGCTCCGCGTCGATAAAACCGGCGCCGACTTGGGTGGTGGGTGCCCAAAAGCCGTAGTCGGTTGCCGTGGTGGCCCAGTCGGCCCAGGGCACGGCGCGCGCGGAACCCATGATGCGGGCGGTCAGCCTCTTCGCCCAGGCGGGGTCGGCGGCGTGTGCGGCGCGCCCGCCGTACTTGCCTACCCAAAGCGCGGCCACGCCGGCAATGTAAGGCGTTGCCATGCTAGAACCGCTCAGAACCTGATACTTGTCCGTGGGGTACGTGGACAAGATCTTGGTACCGGGAGCGACGACGTCTGGCTTGAGTGCGAGATCGTACGTGCTACCCCACGACGTGTATGCCGCGGGCCTACCGCCGCCAGCGTTATACAATCCCACGTAATGAGCGGTGTCGACGTCAAAGGAGGCGGTGACGTTGCCGCCCGAGATGATGGTGTCGATGATGGCTTTCCCGGCTTGAGCTTCTATAGCTGCTACGAGACCCTGGACGCTGCTGTTGGCATACGGGGTTTGGTACGGCCCGTCGTCGTTGTAAAACAAGATGTACTGTGCGCCGAAGGCGGCTATGTTAGTATGCTTTACCGTAGTATCGCATCCGCCAATTTTCGCGAGAACGATGGTTCCGTTGAAGCTAGTGGTGTTCGCGGGCAACGGAGCACAAGCATCATTCTCTACGGACGAGTTGAGCGTCACCGGTATGACGGGCCAGTTGAGGACGGTGTTCGGAAAGAAGCCGGATGCCGCTGCCGGTATGTAGGCAACCTGGGTCTTGTTCGACTGGCCGTCCAGGTTGAAGTCTGCCAAGAAAGCTTGGGCAGGGAACGCGCCGGGCTCGGCAGCTCCCACGGTAATGACGCTTTTGCCCGACGCGCCGTTACTGGCGTCAAATGGGCCGTTGTCTCCATCGTTTCCTGCGGCGATAGAGATAACCACACCTTGCTCGACCATCCTTGATGCTAATACGGCCCAGGCGTTGGAGGTGAAGCCACTATTCTCTCCAAGACTAGCACTAATAATATCCGCCTAAGACACCACGATATCACGTTAGATGTACGATATGGCTAGGTAAATCTGGAACAGTTGAGCCCACTTACGCCGGAGTCAAAAGCCTTCAGGAAACCTTCGATAACCTCCTCCTCGTTTGAATAGCCGCTGGATCCGAAAACCTTGAATACGAGCAATTTCGCGCCCGGAGCGACACCAACAAATCTGTTGGATAATAATGTTTAGAGAGAAGAAGCTCGTTTGTGTCGGGGTTAGCAACTTACTGATCACTTTTGCCGGCAATGATTCCAGAAACATGGGTGCCGTGTCCGTAATGGTCCATTGGGTCATCGTCTGGTGCGGCTGGTCCATCAGGCCAAGCTAACACAGAATGAATATCAGTCTGGTTTTCATACTATCTTATATCGTGAGAGTAAGACGAACCGTCGCCGACAAGATCATAGCCACCTATAACTGTGTAATTCGGGCCAATACCACCACCGAGCTGCAGATATACGTGTGGATTAGCGGACATGTCCATTTCTCACTCAGGTCTGTTTAAGATGGGCGAGGTTACCGCGGGGTGAGTGTACTGAACACCGCTGTCGACAACCGCGACTGTAGCTCCCGTACCAATAATTCCAGCCTTATGAAGCTTCTCAACACCTGTCGAACCGTGTACTGAGTAATTCGCAGCAGCCGCGTCGTCGCTAAATGATTCCCCTTTGGCTGCTACGGGTAGGAGATGTACGAGCGTCGAACTGTACACATAAGCCACGACAGGCTCGTCCTCGTCGGCATCGAGAGCATCGGTCAGAGATTCGGCGTTGCAATGATTAGCACATTCGATACTCACGCCCGGAAAGAGGTCGGAATCGAACTCCTTAACGACACTAAGACCCGGGAGACCCGCCACTTTAGCTGAGGCGCGAGCTCTATGCGCACGCGATTTAAGCTCGACTATGAATCGTCTCGGTGTAGCATTATCCCCAATCTTTGCAGTGTCGTCGATATCACGACGTGAGAGGACGCCCTGCGCGCCGCCGGAAGCGGCGAGTAGGAGCGCTAACGAAGAGAGACTCAGGCGCATTTTGTTGTCTATGAAGCTGCGCAGGCCAAAGAGAAGCATGACCTAAAATCTACACCCGACATGGCGGAAGCGAGAACTCTTACCTATATACATACTTAGATAGCTAACTATCAACTGCTCGCGTACAACGTAGTAGATAGGTAGATCACATTGCGCCAAGAGGCGACGATCTCGTATTCCAAGGGTTACATACACGCCATGCCTAACCATTACCACCCCGTATATATAATGTGGGTTGGGTTTTTCGCGACGTGGGTTTTCGATGCTTTTATTTTCGAGAAGGCTATTAGATATATTCGCCCAGGATTTCAGTTGCCGCCCAAGACGGAGTAAAACTCCCTTGTTTGCGCTTCGGCATATTAAAGGTTAGCGTAGGCGTGGAGCCCTGTCGCAATGGATCACGAACTTCATGATGCCATCGTATCCGAACAGATAAAAGGATTGGATTGATTATCGAAGATTAAAATAGGGTGCAGATCGGACAATAGGCGCGGTTATTAGAGATAAGCAGGGATGGATACAGGTAGCTCATGTCAAGCCTTAAGGGGTCGGAGGTTGCTGCCCTAGCTGCTGGTACTCGGTAGCGCAAATATTGACAATTCCCGTCTGCTAACCCGCAACTGCCTCAAGGATTCAACTTATTATGGGTAAGAGCACATCAATTAAAATTTTGTCTCGTACTTTATCTACGAAAACGAGTTACGAATGATAATCTCTTCGAAACATACCTATTTTATATATATCAACAATTTGATTTTCGCAACCACAGCAGATTCATTTATCTCAAACAAGACTAGATTGAGCTAACGCTATGCTTCGGTAAGTACCGAGGTAGGTACATGTTTCTATATAGACAATCATGTAACCTACAGTCCAAAAGACCCGGGGTCTCGTCACCTCTGCCATCCCGACTATCCGATCAATCTCGCCGGTAAACGTCCTGTCATTCTCTGCGGTGCGGACGTTACTTTCCTGCTCAACGTCCGGAGTTTGACGACAACAATGCCGGCGGAATGCGGTACTCCCCCATTCCATCCCACCTATCATACGATGCTGTCAGCATCATACGACAGCGCCAGTCACCCGTACAACTATGTTGGCGCCGACCTTATTCATATAGTGGCCTGTCGGACGATGAATTTTTCTCTTAAAACCTAATTATATCTAAAATATGCCCATACGAGTTCGAAGAAGCCGCTGTTGTACTTTTTTAATCTGCTTCCTCGTTGGCTTCATCACTGCCATACTTTGCATGGTCCTCTTCCGTCCTAACACCACCGCCCTCACGCTAAATCGCATATCCGGTTCTTTATTAACCACGATGACGACGCAGGCACCAAAAAAGCCTGTTATAGTCGTGGGATCCGGCCTTGCCGGTCTGTCCGCGGCGCACGAAGCACTTCGTGCTGGAGCGACTGTTCGCATGTTGGATCGCGCGCCCAAACCTGGCGGGAATAGCATCAAAGCCTCGTCCGGAATCAACGGAGCTGGTACGCGGTTTCAACAATCGCTGGGTATCGCTAAGGATGACAGCTTCTATTCCGATACCGTGCGGTCGGCTGGTGCTAGATTTGCCGAGAGTAGTCCGCCGGTTGACCGCAAGGCTCTAATTGAGATATTAACAAGCCAATCCGAAAGCGCGGTAAATTGGCTTGCAGACGAGTTAAATGTCGATTTAAGTGTCGTCGCCCAACTCGGTGGACATTCGGTCCCGCGGACGCACCGCGGCGGGGGGAAACTACCTCCTGGAGCGGCGATCGTATCCGCATTATTAGATGCGCTAAAGGCAAACTCCAATTTCTCGTTGGAGAATTCGGCCGATGTAGTTGAGCTACTCTCTGGCGACGGCGCGGTCAAAGGAGTAAGCTATCAAGTCGCAGATGGGCAGCCGCATGAGCTAGAAGGACCGGTGGTTTTTGCGGCGGGAGGGTTCGCGGGTGACGCTCATGGCTTATTGTCAAAATACCGGCCCGACTTAGCAGGCATCCCATCCACGAACGAGGCACGGCCGGCTTCTCACGGCTTGCTGTCTGCCGTCAGGGCCTCGTTCGTTGATATGGACAGCGTACAGATTCACCCGACGGGCTTCGTTGATCCCAAGGACCCCGGCTCGGCGTATAAATTTCTAGCTGCTGAAGCTCTACGAGGCGAAGGTGGTATTTTACTGTCTGCTGAGGGGAAGAGATTCATAAATGAGCTGCAAACCAGGGACGTGGTTAGCGCCGCCATCATGGCTTTGCCGCACACGACGGTTGAGAAGACGAGACAGTGGGAAGTAACGCTCCTGCTCGACCCAGGCGCCTGCGAAGCCACCACGTCACATATAGGATTCTATCTCTGGAAGGGCTTAGTACAGAAAAAGAAAGTTAGGGACTTGGCACCGGAGGTCATCGCGTCAGTAGACAAGTACGCGACCCTGGTCTCAGAAAATGGCGAAGACGAGTTAGGGAGAAAGGCGTTTGGGCACTGGAAATTGCCTCCCGGCGAGGCAAATAGGGACGAGGAAGTATGCGTCGGGACTGTAACGCCTGTGGTTCACTTCACGATGGGAGGCGTGACGTTCGATTCGCAAGCGAGGGTCTTGCGACCGAAAGAGGGCGGCGGACTAGTACCTATACCCGGTCTATGGGCTGCAGGCGAGATTACTGGTGGCATACATGGCGCAAATAGACTCGGTGGCTCGTCACTGCTTGAGTGTGCCGTCTTCGGTAGGATTGCTGGAGCTGAGGCTGCGAAGAGCCTAACAAATGCATGACAGTGATTTGGGATTTGGGTCACGGAAAGAGCTAGGATTAAAAATGTCACGGTCCTACATTTAGGAGAATTATCGATGAGACTGTATTAATATAGAAAAGACATCTGCAAATTCATAACATCATGACATGAACCACCACGGCACGGTCACTCCGAGCGTCGAAATGTAATCCACTAAGCACCTGATACCTTTTTCTTTATTTTTTTTTTTAAAAATTTTTTTTTATTATTATTATTTTTTTTTACAAATTACCTACGGTACCTGGGTGCATGGTCATTTCATATCACGGATTGGAGATACCTGATCAAAAAATGACAGAATTAAATAGGATCTATAAAGGTACTTACTTTCGCATGTCTACCTACTTAGATATGCAGGGGAAAGATGTGAAGTTGAATCTCTTCTTAGACCGGTGTCCGATGACCACCGGATGTTTGAGATTCGTTAACCGGTACGGTCGAAGAGCGAAGGCCCTGCTTCGGCTGCTAGGCGAATATATGTATTCCACCGATGTTTAAACTTAGAGACTTTAAGTAGGTCAGTGACTGGCTGAGTGGGTCGTTGTTATGTACGCAGGTGATTCTCCAGATACGCGGGCTGCTAATGAAAACTGAGTCATCTCCAACATTAGACACGGCATAGAGCCATGAAAGCCTTGTTCTTTCTTTTTTTTTTTTCCCTCTAGGTGGGGGATCTAGAATATCTAGATCAGATGAGAACATTGATGAGATGGTTCTAACGGTACTGACAACCTGCACCAACCAATATACACGTCACACTGTTGGTTCTCTGCTGCATCAAGTCTGGGTCATGTGTATCAGGCGACGGAAGGTGGAATTCGTAGCCGGGAGCCAAACGCCACAGCATGGCGGTCGATTTTATCGAGAGTACCTGGATAGGGAAGAATACCCGGCAACCACGCCCCGCTCAAGCGGCCCTTCGAGCGGCCAAGTTGGATCGTCGAAGCGGTGACGCCTTAATTAACATTAAAGAAAACGCCCCCGTCTCGGTTGCGGCATATCGATACGATTCCGTGCCGAAATGGAACAAGTCAAGTTAACTTCTGAGAAGTTCGTCCTGAGTCTTCGTTGGCTTGGTATCTTATTATGTCCCTGTTAATATAGGCCTATTGGAGATCATTATGTCTGTCGGACCCGAAGAGTCGGGACCCCACCATGTCGATTCCAACTTCTGGTAAGAGGTCGGAGTAATTCGCGTGAGGATGCCAATCCTGGTCAGGTTAAGAATGATCAAAGCGCGTTTCAGAATCTCTAGAGTCCGTTATCTCTTAATCACTCACATGTAGTAAATGAGAAGTTTTTTTTTTTGGTTTTCCCCCCTCGTTTCAACTGGGTCGGTGGTGTCCCTAGGAATGAAGTGGTATCGAAAGATTCGAGAAAATGATTTGCCTTACTACTTACATTAATGAATACCTAGGTATCGAATTTAGCTAACCCTTTTAAGAATAAGATCTTGGTTTTAACGAATGAGGGGTGAAGTTGAATATGCTGTTTGTCCGCTGAAATGAAACATGAAACATGGCGAATAGTCTTTTAAGCACGTGTTTAGGGCAATAACTTTGTTGTAACTTACAACACGGATAGAGCGAACAGCACGTCGAGTTAAACAGTTTAGCTCCTTGTACCTACCGAGATAATATAGCACTTATCTCACTTTTTCTTCTTGAAGTGTTCTATTCAATGATCGGGATATAGGGATGTTTAGTACCTACTATATTTAGATTCATCATACGCATAGGAGGAAGAGGGCGATTGGGATTAACCTAAAGTGCGTTAGAGATCGTCCCAACTAAGTGGAAACTGCGCGCCCTGCACCTTTAATTCATTACCTGCACCGGCTCGATTACATATGCGGTCGACGGTTGGGAAGCACGAGGAGTAACGAATACGACTAGAGAATCGTGCGGCCTCGCTTCGACGACTACCTACCCAACGTTGGAGGGGTAAAAACATTAGCTCGGGAAACTTAGGTAGGCTTACCTAAGAGAGGTTCTTGAAATTCTCTGCATGGCGGACATGTTGGTTCGTTCTCGAACTTATTACTGTCGTAATTTAGGCAGGTAATTACTTTTGGTTGTGCGAATATGTCATGTGAAACTAACTTTGCATCATTCCTTGGGAGATCTAGAGTAACGGCATTGTGGTGTTGAGCACTCGATAAATGTAAGGAGCATCAGCGCGGGAATCAACATAGGGTGGTGGTATCGAATAACACTACCTACCCGCCTATCATGATGATTGAATACCTGCCATGTATTAACTGAGGTAACACCCAAGCCCGCCGCTTGCATGGCATATATCGTCCTTGTACAAGAGACGCTGGTGCTCGGGGAACACAGCAGATATTGGAAGCAGGTGTGTCCAAGATCGGCAGGCGTGTAGTCAGGTATCTAAGAAATTTGGAAAGATTGCCAGATTACCTAGGGACTTAAACATCGCAAACTTTATCACAGTCCACGCGAATCTTCGCGCCGCAGAGCTTGTTCTTGAGCTTGTTCTTGAGCTTGTTCTTGTCTGAGGTGGTATCTGCAATCTACCTCTCTATACTAGATCTAGGAATTGCAAGGAATCCTGCCAACTTTGCCAAACGTTGAGTTTGGAGGACTTTTTGTTTTCCTCCGGCCTGTCTGATCGTGTATGTAGGTATTCATCAACCTCCCCTGCCTCCCTAGCTGATGGTTGAATGACCGGGGTAGTAGAGGTTGCGTTCGAAGTGGGCTTACAACAGCGGGATGGTCGCCTATTTAGCCAGTCAACGCTCTCCTCGAAATGAATTCCCAACCACCCCCTGCGATTTATTTTGCTATGCAGTAAGTTTCGATGCGTCTGACCGGCCACTGAGCGAATCACAGCGGCAGCGGCTGGCAGAAGGGCGACATTTTGTCCATATGTAGCCGCGGCCCTTCAATTAATTTGACGGCAGCCAACATGAACGAGACACGCTTCTTCAGTGGCTTTGGCCCTTTTTTCTAGACCCTTCAGCTCATTCCCGTGTACGTACCCTAACCTAGGTATTTTCATCATTTTTCATAAGCCACGGGCCGAGTGGCGTTTTATTTTCTTCTCAGGAGATATGCAAGGTGGCATGGCACTCGTCACTTTTTTTCCTTGCTTTCTTGCGGAGTCTGTGAAGCTCGATCAAAATCCGATTGATCTTAAGCTCAGACCTGCCAGCGGTCCTAGGTGTGTCAAAGAGCACGAAGCTAAGGTACAGAGTAGGAGGATTCGACGTTACCTTAAGCCTCGCCGTTTCGACCGTGCCCCAGGAACCAGGCGCGCTTGGAAAACCCCTCCCCCTCTATTGCGACTCAAATCCATGACTGAATACGAGCGGCGGAGAGTTGTAAACAACAGCATGAGCTGTACCAACCTCTTTTGCAACAGTATAGCGGATCATAGTCTACATAAATGCGTGCAGAGATCTGTACCACCTTACCAAATCGGAGAGTTAGCCGGAGAAGAATTACAGCTCAGCCTAGTGCCGTTACTTCCGCTGCGGTAAGGCTCTAGGTCGAGGGTCATAAAAGCAAGAATCTCGTTCATCCCTACAGACCCGATATGCAAGGTAAGAAGAGGGACCTAGCTCTCGAAAGGTCCCTTGCCCGATGATACCCTGCGATGTTCTAGTCATCGAGAGGATCACCTGTGTACCTGGAACCCCCTGTCAGCCCCAGAGGTCCAGACAACCAGGAGAAAGGGCTTCTGCCAAGGATAGGCGACATTCTGCACCAAACATGTCATCCTCTTTCCAAGGTTCATGTCCAGCCTGCCGCCGTGCTTAGGAACGGTCTCTCCCGTCGGCTCAAAAATGCGACATTTCTAGCGTGGAAACTAAATGCGGACCCTATTCCAATTTTTTTCTCATCTCGGATGAGAAAGTATTTCGTGGCTATTCTATCCACGATCCAAGTTAGAAGCTACCTTTGTCAAGCATCTATCCCTTGACCGCGACGCTAACATGCGTACACCCGGGGGCTAGGACCTTGATGTATGGTAGTAGTAGGTAAATAAACAGGATACCTACTTACATCGTCCTACACTGCGCCTGACGGATGTAGGTCTGCTAGGATGAACCCATGAATCCGTGGTGGATATGATATAAGTTCAGGCTGAACCCCGTTTAACCGCGTTCACGATCCTCATCATCGTCGCCGTCTCATAGAGTTCTTCTCTTTCCGTCTCCTTAGGCGTTCTTTCCTACGTATATCGTTTACAATTCTCACTTCTTTGGAGATTGGTCGTTGTATTTCTCGTATTCTAGACTCTTCAAATTTCGTTAATAGAGCACGCCAAATCTCGGCTCGGGAAGCTCTCTCTCATCTTGCATCTGCATATACCTACCTACCTACAATACAACGCAGGCGCATACTACCTGGGTACGCGCATTGCTATTCTATTCTATTCTAAGCGCCGACCAACCACTCACCCACCACACTCATACATGACACCCGGCCACGGCCAGCTAAGAAACATTACATCGTCCTCAGCTGCCGCCTGCATTATTAGTTACCCCAGTTACTGTCGAAGTACCTTTGTATAGCCAGGAAGTCTTTGTCTTCCTCTAGTCCACCCTGCCTGTCTTATAATATCTCTTCGATACCGTTCCTTCTAGATCCCGAACTTTTTTTTTGGTCTGGAAGGGAACCTTCAAAATGCAGTCAAAAAGTCTATTTGCGTTGCTCACAGCTCTCGCTGTCACCTCTGCCTCTCCGCTACGGCGAAGGTGTAGCAACAGTACTATTCCGACCACTACCAACCCAGTTAACTCTACCTCGGCGGCTGTTACTCCAACCCTACCTACAACTGGCTGTAAGTCCTGTGCCTATTTTCTATACTACTTCCCACTCACACAAAAAAAAAAGAAAACGCCTAGAATAGACTAACACCCATCATAGCCGGAACCCAACTCGACGGCCCCGGTTCCGCCACCCTTAAACACATCCTCGTCGGCCACGGCATCCAGAACTACACCTGCAGCGCCGCAGGCGCAACCGCCACATCCATCGGCGCCCTAGCCGTGCTCTGGGACATCGCCGCCCTATACCCCGGAGCCTCCTCGTCCTCGCTCTCCGCAGACGCCTTCCAACAGCTGACCTCCACCGTCCTACGCACGACGCAGATCCCGCTAAACATGGCGGCCGCCGCCGCGGACGGCACCAGCACCGGCGCAGTGGTGGCCTCGCCGTTCCCGGCTCCCGTGGACCTCGTCATCGACGGCGTCGCGAGCGCCGTCCAGTTCATGGGCCACCACTTCTTCGACGACGAGGGCACGCCGACGATCGACCTGTCGGGCGCCGGCGACGGCGAGTATTTCAAGGGCAAGAAGGACGCGAACGTGTCGGCGCCGAGCGACGCCGACGCCGGCGTAGACCCGGCTACGGGGGCCGTGGACTGGCTCCGGCTCAGCGACAAAGGCACAAGCGTCGGCATCAGCCTCGTGTACCGCGTGCTGACGGCCGGCGGGGACCCCGACGTTTGTACGGAGGCCGGGCAGGCGATGAGCGTGCCGTATAGTGCTCAATATTGGGTTTATGGGAACTGAGGTTGTTTACTCGAGTTCTTATCGCTTGGATACATCGATTACGTGAATTGGCATCGGACGAGATACTCTAGGCGGCGAACCTGACGCGGTTGCGAACTTGAGACAGCACGCGGAGGTACTTTAATATGGCAGGGCACAAATCACTGGCGTTTGGGATTCTTACGGGTATATAACTCGTATCGCGGGCAAAGGTGGGCACTGAAGATATTGGATGGTTGGGTCATTTACATATTTAGGCTTGGTTTGCCTCCTTCTATTTCTTCTTAGATATATTCCTTTTTTTCGTGGGGGTTTCTTGGTCGTCACCATGTAGGAAAAAAAGCCGAGGGAGAACATAACCCCCTTTTTGTTCTTACTGCTGGGCGCGGAAACGACGTATATACGGGGAGCAGTATTATAACGAACTAATTAGCATTTATATTCGTGATCACTGTTACTCGACTTTGGGTCGTTTAACACTGAAGCAGAAAATAGGTCGTGCCATTTCCATATGGACCTACCTAATCAGACCGGACTATTTGCCACCTACCTACATATTCCTCGTATAGCGGCCAAAGTCAGGAATAATAGGTAAGCTCGTGATATTCTACTTTGGGGATATTTTCATTCTCAACGTCCTTTCAAGAACGGTCTTATTCCGGGAATATTCTAGCACAGTCCTTTCCCGAAGGAAGTTAGCTAGATGCCCAGTATATTGACCCACGAAATGGCTCAAGCCAACAGATAAGGAGAGCGAGCAATGGTATATGAAACTTATTAGGTACTGTTTAAGCGAAAAAAAAAACCCCGTCTTCATTGTACGCTTGTATTATAAATTTCAGACGTATGGAACGAGTCCATTAAATCGAACGCCGCAAAGAATTTCTTTTTTTATTCATCATAACCCAAGACACGCGATTAGTGTTTTCAAGCCACTTCTGGGTGTTACCATAGAAAAAAAGAGTAGAGCCCCCTCTCCTCATCATCAGACACCTCATTCGCTGAGGCGGGATTTCGCTTGTTGGGCGTCTCGCCCACTCTATCTACCTTGTCCGTTCCAAAAATAGACCTTCTCCGGGTAGGCATATAACCGAACGCGCTTCGACGGCGCGTCACCAAAAAAGATATTCTTTTCTGAGAATCTTCTCATTATAACAGCTAAACCGCCTTGGCAAGCTTCCGTACTTTTGCTGTCCCGATTCAGTTGAATCTGCATTCGCCGCCGCCTCTGCCGCCGCCCAAACACGCTTGAGGTAGTGGAGATTCTATCTTCTACCGCCAGCATCTAGGCCACCCTGTAATTCCCCTTCCAGTCCCATCTGATCCATGTATTCCTGGGGTCGTGGGTCCTCGGCACGCCATTGGGAATTCCCACCACTAGGCATTGGCACTTGACCCGGCGCCACTTGTTGTCCCGCTGCCGAACCCGTGCTTCCCGGCGCTGTCCGGACCAGCTGTCGGAATCTGAACACCTCTTCCTTGATCATCTCTCGCATGTGTGCGACGTCATCAATGACTTCGAAGTCGAAGTTGAAAGTTGTTGGGCAGTCGGGCTCGTCGGATGCGTCGTGCCAGATGTGTAGATAAGGGTGCTCAAGAGCTTGCTCAACGCTGATGCGCGAAGAGGGGTCGAAAGCTAGCATCCGGTCGAGAAGGTCAAGCGCATCGGGGTTGGCATTGGGGAATAGGCTAGGGAATGGCTTCTTAGCCATATAAGGTAAGTTTCGAACATATTCCTGGGCGCGCGAAGAACCGATTCGCGAGAGGGTCTCCTCGTTCGGGGTCCCGAGAATGTGGAGGATCTGGTTGAGTTGATCAACGTAATCGCGGCCCTTGAAGAAGGGCCGTCCTCCGAGTAGTTCGGCAAGAATGCATCCCACAGACCAAACATCAACTATGATTTGTTAGTTAGCTGTAATCGGAATCAAGTTTTGTCGTATTCACGTACTAGCTTTGGTATAGCTCTGGAAGCTCAACATAATCTCAGGAGCGCGGTACCACCGTGTAGCGACATACTCGGTCATATAGCCGGCGTTCTCCTCGGGGTCGACGGAGAAGCCACGAGCCAGACCGAAATCGCAAATCTTCAGCTCACAGTCGGCGTTGACGAGTAAGTTACCCGGCTTCAGGTCGCGGTGCAGGACATTCGCGGAGTGGATGTACTTCAAGCCGCAGAGGATCTGATAGATGAATGATTGGAAGTGAGCGTCGGTAAGCGGTTGGCCTGAACGGATAATCGCAGCCAAGTCGCATTCCATCAATTCTAATATTGAGTAGATAGTGAGTATGACGATCGTGGGAAACACAGGTCGACTTCTTACCTTCATATAGATATGTCTCATTGAAGTTCTCTGGCCGAGGGATGTCCATATCATAAAGACATGTGATCTGATGATTCGAATCGAGTCAGCACTTAACTCTACGGCCTTAACCGCCTTAATATACAGCATATGTGTTCTGTGAGAAGACAAAGTGATGGCTTACGTTACGATGGCCTCGGAAGTGTTGCAGGAGCTTGATCTCGCGCAAGGCGCGCTTCGCTAGGATCTTTTTGCTAAAGACATTGGTGACCTTCTTGATGGCGACACCCTCGTTGGTCTGGTTATTAACAGCGGCGCTATTTTTCAAATCAATTGTTAGAGAACAGTTGCCAGTTACCAGTTACCCGACGTAGCTTATGAATCATATGCGACACACGTACCAAACAATACCGTAAGCACCTTGTCCTAATTCCTTGGTAACGGTGTACCGCTCGTCGACGATAAAGTCTTGGTTAAAAACCTTGAAGACCTTACGTCCTTGTAGGTCGGCCATTGTAGTGTCCAAACTTCGATATCTCTAGTATTAAACGACACCGGACGCGGTTGGCGGGGTTTGCGCTTGGGTAACGTTGGATAATGATGATGAGCGGGTAACGTTGGAATCGGATAGTTGGGTCGAATCGCAAACTCGAGCTATTTTGACTTGGTGCGTTTTCCACCAAAGCTAACGGTACAATCAGAAGACAGCCAAAGCCGAGCCGGAACAGCTCTTTGACTGGGAATTTTCAGTATTGTCGGGTAGGAAGAATGTGATATGTGTATTGTCTATACCAAAGGACACGGTGGGTTCTTTAACCAAGAAACAGGTATGTAGCTATGACGAAGCTGACGAGAGTGAAAGCGGGATTGTGTACTGAGCAAAAAGAAAGTAAGCGAGGCTTATGGATGTTTTGGGTGTTTCGGATGCCGGGTACTATTTAAAAAGGGCAACCCTAGAAATACCAAGACAAGGCTGCTAAGCAAACTGATTGGTGATGGTGATGGTGATGGAGTGGAGGATGGCGAATGCGATATAGCTCCGAGGGGTAATAAGTACGATAAGTGGTGGGCCAGCCCTAAAGAGGAATAGGCACTAACAACAATGGATGTCACGTTTGCCAATGAAAAAGAGAAATGGCAGGAGCAGAAACAGAAACAAAAGAAGGCTATTTCCCTTTGCCTGCTTATTTCTTATTGCTTATGCGCTGCGTGTAACTCGAAGTAACTCAAACAACCCCGAAGCAATCGTCGGTTCAAGGAAGGTGGGAGGAGGGGAAATCTGATAATTGGAAAGTCCTTGGCTCCTTGGCTAAGGGATGGAGATGCGAAAGTGGGGATGGAGGGGCGCGCGCCGCAAGGGCAATGAGGCAATGAGAGAGCAATGATCAAATCAAGGCAGTTACAACTTGCGTGCCTTGTGGGATGTTCCCCGCAATGTCACAGCGACATCCATTGTCGTTGGCCACCTTTCGAGACCAGACCCCACCACCTCCCGGTTCCAAGATAGCGCCAGTATGGTAGATCCCTGCTCGCCTGAGCTCTGCTAGCCCTATAAGCGCCGACTGCCGGCCATTGATTGGGCTGAACTGAAGGTAATCGCATTTGCATCTCGCAAATTCTTCTTCATAGCCGCCCTTATAGCCGCGCTATAATTGTGCTTGGTTCTGAATATCACGAGAAACATGGATGTATACATGTCTAGGAGCAGGTAACAAGACATGTAAAATGATAAGCTGTTCCGGCAGAACGGGCAGAACGGGAAAGGCCGTACGGCGCAAGCTACTTTAGCGGAAGTTCACTAGGGGCTGAGCTGAGGCTGAGGCGAGTAGGCTCGGCCCCCAAAATTATCTGTCTTGGAGCCACATGTGCAATACATCCCGTTCCTGTCTGCACTTTTTCATTGGCTTATTCTGAAATAGATCAATGCTAAGTTGTGCCTACCTATATATACCTACCTACCTACTGTGGTACCTAAGCGATATACTAGTGGGCTACCTAGTAACGTAAGTAACTCGTAAAGATGACGACAAATCGCAACGTTATAGTCAATTATTAGAGTCGGACCCTTGCAACTAGAATCGAAAATATGCAGTCCTCAGAAAAGCGACTGGTCGATTCCGTTTATAAAATAATCTCGTGCTTATTATCGATAGGATGCCTCCCTTAAAGGGCCGTCTTTTCGAATTTATGATTTATGCAAATCTATTCGTCTTGCAGGCTCTATCTACCGGTTTATGAAGATATAATTTCTATAAAAAGCCTGGGTATCATTAGAGTTTATGCAGTCGGTTTGGAGGCACCGGGAAACGCCTGCTCTAAGAAATTTGTCGAGAATCTCTTGCATTGTTCAAACGCCTTCTCGAATGCGTTTCGACCGACATAATACGGGTCTTGCACTATCTCTTTGCGACCCGTACCCGAGAACTCGCCAAAGAGCATCACTCGCGCCTTAGACGCAGACAACTTCTGGCTTCTATTTCTCCACCGCTCGATATCCTCTAGGTTCCCGTTGTCCATCGCAAATATGTAGTCGAAATCCCGGAAGTCGCTATCGCGAAACTGTAGGCGATCGATGATTAGTTTACCTCGTTTGTATCACATTAACCCTTTTCGTGCTGCTCGGACTAACCCTACGTGCCGCGTGCGTATAGTTCGTGATGCCGTGGTCTGCGAGGGTTGACATCGTCCGGGAATCGGGCTCGTCTCCGGTGTGGTACCCACCTGGTTATATTGTATTCACATTAGCATTAACTTCTTAGAAAGGGGATGATTCTTTGAGGAATGTCTTCGCACCTGTCCCGCAGGAGTCTACCTTGTCGATGAGGTTGGAGTACGGAGATGATCTGTCTTTCACGATGGATCGGAAGACACCTTCTGCCATGGTAGATCTACAGATGTTTCCCAAGCAGACGAAGAGGACGGAGATCTTCTGTGGACGCGCTCCATCGCCCGTGGCCGTAGTGGCCGCACTCGTGCCTGACATTGCGAGGGTGAAAGTTAATCTGTTATGAATGAGATAATAACTTCCAAGAATTCAAGTTCTGTTGAGCTTATTGGAAGATCTCCGGTCCAGTTTCGCGGTTGGCCCACTTTTATGTCGTTGTGTCTTGGCAACCCCTCCCCCTTTTCCTCTTTTTACCCCAGACCTTTACACAACACACATTAATACTACTAACATAAGCATATATCGCAAGAAATGATGTATATCAATAATCGTTAGATATTTTCTAATAGTGTATAGCATTAGAGATATCTAGTAGAGACTAAAGTGCCAAAACGACAATTTTGTTCTTGAATAAGGAGGGAGAAGGATTGCAAGAAGCCCCTGAATTCCCTTCCAAGGATTCTCTCCTTCCATTCTACAAATAAGAACTCGCCGCAATAAGACCGTCTAATTTCGGTCCTTAACCTACCCAATCTTTTGCCAGGCAACTTATAGAAGTCATGAAGCATTCAACTAATAAACGTACTAGGATGGATTCAGATTTCAACGCATATAATAGAAACCCGAAGGCCGATTTCCAATAGATCTGGGCAGCGGGTCATTATACCAGCAGCCTCAAAGTTGACGGGGAAGGATGATATGTACGTATCCGAGTTATCCGCTATTCCAATAAGGCTTAAAAGCATTGGTCGACTGAATACTGTGCTGCATAAGGGAAGAAGCCGATGGAATACGTAAATATATTGAGAGACAACGAAAATATAGCCATTGATGAGCTAAATCCAAAAAGGTGTCACCTGCTTAGATGTCGAGGAAAACTGACAGCAGTTTGGTTCAGAGAGCCACTCGCACATCTCGTTCACTCGATTCGCCATGAAAAAGAGGAACATTTAGATTATCTCTTTGGCTGGCAGTTGTCTCCAGCCAGGGGTTTAGAGATAAAATATAACTTCGCGTAACTTAGTAGACCATGATACATGATTTTACATATTTTACCTTCAACCATTTATGGGTGCTTAGGTGTATTTTGCCTCCAAATTCTTGACTAAGGACAACTACCAGTTAAAAGATAATCTCATATCAAGGGACACATTAGCACCTATTGATATTCTCATTATGCAAATGAGTTTTATTACCGTAGTTATATTAGGTCCGATTCAATTGAGAATCCTTCATAGTCGTTACTCGAGAATCAGGAGACCCCCGCCAAGACGAGAGCTACGGAAAGGCCGCAGAGGCCAACATGTATATCATGGCACCTGTATATACAACCCCCCTTGAATCGATACAGGTTACAACTCAATACCTATCTACCTAGCAAATGCTCTTTCACCTTGGTTACAAGAATTCTGCTCTCAGATTACATAAAGATGTTCTCGGTGTCCTCTGTTATATATTAGTATAATGGGGATGTTGAACCGGTACAACCTACACACACTACCTACCTACGTACTAATAGTTGGCACGTTTCTACTGATACTTCGAGGCTCGAGCTTATACGGACTATATTGACCTCGCGATATGTTTCTTTATTCGGTGCAGTCATCTTGAAGAGTCATTCATCTTTGTATGGCGTGACATTGTCTGGTGATAGGTATCAATATAATAACCACCAATGCCAGCGCGACGGCACGATGAGTACCGCCGAGCCTCATAGCCTGCCTGGACTTCTGCCTGCAGTGCGAAGCGAGATTATCGTATATGTCTAGCCTCACGACAGGCATCGTCGACGATAACCAATCAGGCATGGCCAAACTAAGCTTAAATCGATACCCCTGTATACTATATGCTGACACTAATCTCATATTCGCGGAGTCGTTCCACTTCTTCATGCACTGGAACTCCAGATCCAGGCGAGCCCTACGGTCTAGACTAGTAAAAGCCTAGGGCTAGCAGTCAGCTCCGTGCTGTGCCTCACATACCGCTTGGTGTAATGAAAAAGTTCACTTCGGCTATTCCTAGGGGTCGATGGAAATAAATACTCTCATTTCTCACTCGATTTATCCCGTCTTGAGGCCATCAAGCGCTCATTCACTCGTTCTCTTCTTCGCGCCGTGATCTCCTGAAAGCTCATAATCTGTCACGATGTTCGCCGAATTCGCCCTCGCTTCTCTGCTCGCCATTGCTCCTTTGGCTGGTGCAACGCCTGACGTGACTGTCAAGGTCTTGCCCTCCGAGGATTGTTCGTCCTATCCCGGATACGATGCGTCGACCGATACAGCCGGACCTTGGACCATCCAGCTGGTCGATAGCGACAACGCTGCCATTGAAGGCTTCAGCGACACCTCTGTCTACTCGATATCCTTTAACCCCAGTACTGATCGTAAGCCTAGTCTGCGGTGGGGCTCTGTAAGTACTCTTATCCAAGATTGAAGTATAGCCATTCTGATGGACCGGCACAGATCACTTTCCCGACACGCAATGACATCGCCAAGAATCCCTTGAAGTGTAGCGCCGGTGAGCTTCAGGGTTGGGTACCCACGGATTTGACGGCTGCCGGTGCCCCGACGAGTTACCAATGGGTTCCTTTGGTGATCTCGCCGTACCCGTACGACGCGGCCTTGATGTGGAAGATCGATGGCGATACGCCCCAGATCTTCGAGCACTATGTCGGCGACGTGAAGCAGGATGGCGTGTTCCTCGGAAGCTATAACACCAGCACCTCGTGGGGCCTCACGTACGAGGCTGCGGACGTCGGCTCCAGCGGTCAGGACTATTACTACGCACGGCTTCTGGGACCCAACAGCGCTGACCCTACGACCGGCGCGGCGTTGGGCGCAAATGAAACTACGACGTTCATCAAGATTACGGCCTGATAACTTCATCTTCAAGAAGAGAGCTTCGGGAGATCCTATGCTTTCACTAAGCATCAGGAGCAGAAATATAATACCGGGCGGTTCTCAAGAGTAGTTAGCAGGCACATTTTGAATGGCGGTGGAGTTGAAATTTACCTAATTATTGCCTCACTTGAAGTATCCTTGCTAACCTCGAGTTATCTGTATTTTTGTGTAGCCTTATTTATGTCTAGGGCAGTAGTACAAGTATGAAGTTACGTACCTATCGGAAACTTTGCATTAGATAAAAGGGACAAAAGGCAGGCACCAACAGGCCTAATAGGAGTTAAACCTAAACTACCTTTCATTCCTTTACCTAATATCTGCGTTAAAATCGATAAGGGGCTATTGCGGTGATGGGTAGTAGGTAGGTACCTAGAGGTAGAGTTTGCTTCGTTGGTGCGCGGTTACTCAAATTAAGGGCCATTGTAATAAACTTCGAGATGTCAACATTTTCATTAGGTAATGACTTGAGTAAAGGGATGAGATACAGTTTGGTACGTGATAGGCGAGGTAACCCGAAGTTGGCTTTTTGGTAACCAACGTACGTTGGATGATGAATTAACACCCACCAACAATACCTATTAATACCCTCGCACTAACACATGCAACAGCTAACATCTGGATGCGAGTTATTACGCCCCTAATAACATTAACTAACATACGTACATAAATAGGCGCATAGATGTGTCCCCATATGTATAAATATTCGGTGGATAGGTAGCCATGCATAAGAAATATTTCTTTCGCGCACCTTTTCAGATCAAAATATAATCTAAGTCTTTCCCTTCCCATTCTTCTAGTCATCATAAACGTGTTTCGAATAAGTACCTTCCAGGTACATTATCGTCATTATCATCACCATGATATACCAGCATCTAAGTTATTTGGGTCTAATAGCCCTGGGCATTTATGCAGCCTTAGCTGTAAGTAAACCATCAAAAACATCATGTGTTTTATGGTTGAAGATTCCTAACTATGGCTACCAGAGCGACAGTGAACACGATGAAGTTCCATCATCCGATATCGAGTTCTTCAATGGGCGTAGAGTAGCACCGTTGATGATACGAGGAGTTATCGAGCCAGGGGGTGCTGAGAGATCATTCAATGGTACTATCGAAGTGAGTATTGTATTTCCCTTTTCCATAATGTGACCTATCTTATATTCCAAGGAAATCGAGAGTCAAATTAGGGGCATCAACCCAACCTTCTCGTGGAAAGAATTCCGACCCAGCAAGCGAAACGTCGTTGAATCTCCAAGAAAGAGACAACTAGTAAGTGATATCCTAGCTCCATCCTAGTATCCAATTATATGTCGCTACGGAAAAATCTCGACGTCTAACTTTGAAAGTAACAGAGCAAGATACTCTGTCACGTCCAAAACCTACAGCCTGCCCCAAGAGACGGCATTGACGCCCTCGTTAATTGGCTAAACCAGATAGCGTCAGAGCTCCCTGTGGACGGCAATCGCTGCACTAAGTATTCCTGCCAAAAGAATGCGGCATTGTGGTTTTGCAACGATAACCCCTGGTGGATCCAGCAAAACAGTATCACTCTTGCAAACTACGTTACCGCGATTGCGGATGATACGGACTGTGAGACTTCAGGCAATAAAGATTTAATCCAGGGCCAAGCATTCGACACGGGAGGGTTTAATGTCATTATCAATGGGGACAATTGTCCCTGACCTAGGTCAAATGGACACCCTTTTGTTGTTTTTTCCATGATCGAGTAGGGGGTAGGCCGCAGTCTAACTAGACTCTTGCCAAGTAGTTCACATACCATTTACACGATATGATATTGTAAGGTATTCAGTGGTAATCTTTACATTAAGTAGAAAAGTAGTGTCTAGTACATTTCCAAGAAGGTATTTAACATACCATAAATGTGTTGAGAGGTAGGTGCTTAATGCAACTGAAAAGCCTGTCTGGTTCGGCCGCTTCCTGGCTTTGAATTTGGTGTTGAAAAGGGAAACCCTAGCGAGGGAACACGTTCCTTTACAAGCAATATTCTTGCTTCCTGGTAGGTAATCTAAGTGCGTAGGTATAGACAGAGGCACCAAAGGAGCATGCACATATGGACAGAACAATTTCCTGGGAAACCACGGACACTCTTCGGCTTTGTACTACCATAAGTTCCACTATAAAACGGAGCACCGACTTCGAAAGAGCGGAGAGGTAGCCGGAGCAAGTATGACCAAAAAAAAGAAAGTGGATTCGCCGACAAATACTTCTCCATAACAAGAGCTTGGTATTCTGTAAGTGGTAGCAGATTATCTCAGTAAACCGCCAGTGTTAAAATCACTAGCTATTATCAAAGTCCCAGTTGTAGATTTGCCTTCATAGGTATTGTCTTGACGTCGGCTTAAGCTATTAGGGATCACAGTATAATGTGAAGCTCATGATAAAGGCGTCCATATCTTAATTTGGGACCTTCTCCGAAGCAATATATATTCTACAATATCTCTAGAAACACATAATATTGTATCTGGGAATGTACAAAGCAAGGCGTCCATCCTCTAGAGGTATAAAGACCCCCACATAGGCGCAGTGGTTCAAACGCCTGGTCGTGCGTTAGCTTCTGCTTAATTAGAGCTCATAACGTAAGTTAGTTCGAGTCTTGCTGTAGGTCTTCTAACTAGATCAAATGGTCTGACGCAGAGTTTTTCATGAGGTATGGCCGAGGCGGTGGCTCCGAGACATTATTAATGAGGTATGCTCAAGGTTTTCTTCTTATATAGTTAACTAAGTACCCAATTAATCAGAGAGCTACGGTACTCGAGGGAAATAAAGTGCAGGATCACTCATACCAAGCGATACTTCAGCTTTGCCTTTTACAAGGAGGTACCTCTGGGCATCTTGTGTGTTCTTTTAAAGCTTTCTAAATGTGATAGGTACGGACGTAAACATCAATAACAGCAATTCAATGAAGACCCACAGACATTTTGAAACATGAATATCTCTGGTATCTACCTAATCTTTGCACATGGATTAGCCAAGCTGTGACATTCAAGGTCCAAGTCCCAACTGGACCATGAAGCCATGAAGACGTGAGACTTGTATGTATTGGAAAAGAGCAATATAAAGATAATATGCAGATAGCCTGGGTTCATGTTATTATTCTTACACAGCTAAATCTCTCCAAACACCAGGGTTTCATCTAACTACGATTAGTTGTTACACTTGTAATTGTAAGTTGATTAAGTTCCAGTCGGTCTTGGGTCGGTCTTATAATGGGGAGGACTGGACGACGGCCCCAGATAACCCGTTCACATCTCAAAGCTAAGGTAATGGAAGGTCTCTAGGAACGTTTTACTGGAACAAGGGGTGTTTAACGGCCGATAACTATATAGTATCACATCGAACCAAGGTTGTCATATTCTCGCCAAGAAAATATTCGTCAATATTCTAAAAGTAGAGTTACACTAATAAGTTTATATTATAAAGTTGATTTACCACAACTTGAAAGACACCTCTTCTGTGCATGAGCATACAATATCAAGTTTGTTGTCGGAGTAATTCTGCCCTTCATTCTTGCTTATCAGGCAATATACTAACCTCACTCAAACTACGTACGCACCCAGCTCCCGGCTTCGTAACACGAGATGATTCATAATGGTATACCAGCCTAGAGTCCATCAAATGACCTGATATAGGTAGGAGGTACTCTAGGCTGGTTCCTCTTGGAACTCTAATCTAACAAGTAAGAGTCTACTTAGGTGTGATTACTGGTAAAATTGAAGTACAGACTCATGGGTAGAAGTCTCAACATGCTGCTTGTTGGCTCGTATCGGTAGATACCTAGGTAGGGGAGGTTGGGGTCGAGCGTGAAATATTTGAAGTACGGAAAATGGTGCGCCTAAACACACGATTAAGAGCGGTGATAGCAAGGGAACGACGACGGAAAGTGCAACTAAAGAGCAATACGGGTTCAAAGCTAAGTAGGACTTAGCTAGTTCAAGTTGGTTGATTAGGTAGATTTTGGGTGCCAGCCCACTAGGTAGGGATAGCAATGCAACCCTATGTGTTACGAGGTAACATACCGGATGATTTACGATGTCAGGTCCTTAAAGAGTATCTAGTAGTTGTTGTCAAACTAGTAAGTATTTACTTTGGCATATTACGATCATTTACCGTGTTACCCTTTTCGCTACGGTCAAATGCAAACCCAGTGGTGAATAAGTCCACACGATTCTTACAAATCAACACAACTCTCCGTAATTCAACATCTCTTCACGATACCTCTACTCTATCGCTACCTTGAAAGCGGAGTAGAGGCTATATCTGCTTCTAGAACATTAGATCTTTCCGGCGACATGCCCAATATAAGCAAGTCTTGGCTTTAGACTCCCGCTTCTGCACTCCCCGGACCAGGGTAGCTGCGGGTGCGACTCTTAAGATACCATTGGTTCATTTTGGTGATATCTGCATTTACGAGGGTTTTTTGTTATACGAGATCTCTACTACGCTGAGAAGTAAATGTAAGACGATGTGTTAGATAGGCAGATTACCTTGGACTTCATGTTCTTGCGGTGGTGCCTTTGCGACAACAGTGGACGATAACTTGGCTTATTGTCAACTCTGGATTATAATAATGCATCCGCGCTTATAATTGAGCCAAGCCCGTTGGCTTAGATGTTCTCTGTTTAGTGACTACTCGGTATGTTCGGAGACAGCCGAACTTAGCAACGGTATTGCATATGCACGGGACCGCCGTTTGCCGGAGGAGGCTCCAGTATGCGATCCGTCAATGTGTTTACATGCAGGTACACTAAGACTAAATGGTAACCTACCTACCAGTCTAAGAATAATCTGAAATGTGGCTGGCTATTAGTGCTTGAATATCCCCTCGGCTTAGTGCTAGACGGTGTCCGAATTAGGAATCTCGTTGTAGAAAGGTCTAGCTTCCGTGGGGACGCCGCCCGGCGCAGTACCCGGTGGCTTTGTGTTTCGTTATGCGTTACGTTACTTGGAAACGAAGGAGCATTAAACAAGATTCGGGATGGAATCGCATCATGTTTAAACATCTTAGTCATTTGCATGGTCCTCGGCGGCTGCGATTTTCTGGATCTAGGGATTTGCCCGACCAGCTCGCTCCAAATCAATCCGATTTGCCAGTGCGTGCCGTGCCTTAATATCATACTCGGTTTGATAAAGTCTAGCATTGCTAGGATGGTAAAGACCCCGGTGCCTGTAAAGCTTGTACGATGCAAAGTCGATGCGGCTAGGGCTTGTCATCAGGCACTGACAGCAGACCTAGTATCACGGCGAGCTCCTCGAATAGGTAGGTGGGTTGCATGAAGTCATCGTTTGGCTGGAGCCTGCAATGTCGTTGCTGGCCGAATGGCCTTGCGATCCGTTGTCGAAAACGGCTCTATTGAATCTCCTCGGCGGCCTACCTCTGTACCTACCTCCTCAGGATACCGGTACGCTATGTAAGTAGGTGGCCTAACTAGGTATTTTACCTTACCTACCTACCTTCACAGCTTAAGAACACTGTCGATCGTTTTAGATAAAATTCCGATAGGAGGAATCCGAGGTGACTAGAGATGACTGGGGCCGACTGGGGGGCTCCCAGGTTCGATGCATGAATTCCCTCAGATCCAATCAATGCGCGGCTCGGCGACGATCAAATGTGGCAACGCTGGGGAATCAAGAGATAGATAGGCTGCTGTCATTTATTACAGGGGTCTAAGTGAGTCTATATCCCGTCCTATCATAGGCCTCTGATAACTCGCGCCGTTCTTTCGTCCCCTGAACCTCTCGGTCGGGAAATCTTTTACCTTTCGTTCCTCGTCTAGGCATCTGCCCTTTTACTCTATCACTTTACCTCTTGCCTCTTGGAATTTTAGAATTATTACTGGCCGGGATCTTCTACCACTAACACGTGCTACTAACGCATTTCTGGTTCAGACCCGTATCATTTAGACTAAGCTAAGAAGCGCGAGATCTACAGCGGATGACTTGAACTTATGATGTACTACTAAGACAATAATATTATGGGTGGATAAACAATTTATTATCGCGACGCCGGTTGTACAATGCGTCTAAGGGAGGCCCCTACGTCATTTTCTTTAGCGAAAAACACGCGATGTCATCGAGTCAAGCAGCCAAGATCTGGGGAAGCTCTTGGAAAAGCTTGTTTCTTTTCTAGAGTGCCAGCTGAGGTCTCACTCAACGACCATGAGGTTGCGCCGCCAGTGGAAGAAGCGGCCGATGATTCACGAGCTTGGAGGGTGAGTGATACGGACGACCTGCCAAAAAGCGCCAAGTTTCGATTAATAATGAGCTATAATACTATGTATCCCGCACAACCTAACCCCCCCACGGCATGTGCTAGAGTGGTGTGGTGTAGGTCCCTATCTGAAACGCCACAATAGCCCGTGGTGAGCCAGTAGAGCTCAGCAGAAGCCAGTACGTACGGGTACGTATAGGGCAGGGGACGATGCATCATTGCGCAGATCTCCAACACTCTACGGCATGTCCAGCCGCGCTAAAGCACGCACGAGTCAGCCGGGTGCATTGCATAGTGCCATAGGTAGTGCCATAGCCCGCATTTTAACTTACTACTAAGTAGAGAGATGCCCAACGTGGTTGGTCTAGGGCCTTTTAGAGAAGCCTGTTGTAAGACATTGACGGCAATAGTGATCCATGCGGTCCCGTCCCCTTTCATCTCTCTATCTTTTCGTAACCGTCAAATCACCGCCTTCTCCAGCCCGGCCCCCGAATGCTTCTCTCACATGCTTCCGAGAGTGATCCCGAAGATCCACGATCGCTTCGGGGGATATAGATGAGGGAAGAGGACATGACATGACATTGTCATGGTTACAAGGTTAAAGGTCCATGAAGGGCCAAGACAAAGGGATGGAAAAACATAGCCATCCAGCGATCCACGCCAGGTGAAGACGGGGGAAGGCCTACGGGAATTACGCGCGACGGCATGGAGAATTAGAAACCTGGAGAGTTCTCCCAGAAGGGGGGGATGGCCCGCCCGTCGTTGGACGACGAATTAAGCATATCAAAACTACTGACCAATCAGTGCGAAACTCAGGGCTAGCTATTCTAATTCTGCTGGTTCAGATCTGCCTGCCAAGCCGCCGCGTCCCACAAACCAGAGCCCTGTCCGGCCTCTCCCCTCCCCCATCCCCTTCGCACAGCCTAAGCCGATCAAGATGGGCTAAGGGTCGATTCGAAAGACGTGATTGATCTTCGTATTGCTTGCTATAGCATCCTGCCCGTAACGGCAGCTGTGGTCCTCGGAACCCACTTCGCATGGGGGGTAGCTCACGCTCGATAAACATAACTGCCCTACTAAGTCTTGTAAGTGCAGCTGCTTCGGTCGTCGATTGGGAGACTGGGAGATCAGCGGTCCCCTGGACTAGTCCCCTGCTACATCCCCAATTCACCTACTCTTTCCGTCTTGTTCACGATCGCAACCCTCTTCACACTCACTTATAAATATCTGTTTGCCCGTCCGAGTTGGACACAAACATTCTACTCGATATCCCTCGACGCAAGGAGATCTTGAGCCGCCAACACCGACAAGCATTCTCTCTATATATATATACTTATATATAACACTCATTCCCCTTCGCTGTATCCATTCGTTGTCGGAAACATTGTATATTCTACCTGTTCAAAATGGTTGCCTCAGCTGGAAAACTCGCCGTTGCGGCCGCCGTCGCCGGTCTTGCTACCGCCACTCCCACTCCCCCCAAGACCAAGGTCGGAACTCTCTCCGTCCCTCAGGTCAAGAACGCCGGCTTTGTCCCCCACGGTCCCACTCAGCTGGCCAAGGCTTACCTCAAGTACGGTGCTAAGCTGCCCGAGGGGCTCGCTAAGACCGTCGCCGACTTCAAGATCTCCAAGCGTGACAGCGGAAGCGCCAAGACCACCCCCGAGGAGAACGACATCCAGTACCTGACCCCCGTCTCGATCGGCACTCCGGCCCAGACCCTCAACCTGGACTTCGACTCCGGCTCTTCGGACCTCTGGGTCTTCAGCACTGAGCTCCCTTCCAGCTCCGTCAGCGGACAGACTCAGTACAACCCCAGCAAGAGCAGCACCGCTAAGAAGCTCAGCGGCGCTACCTGGCAGATCTCCTACGGTGACGGCAGCTCGTCCAGCGGTGACGTCTACACCGACACCGTAACCGTCGGAGGCGTTACCTTCGCCTCTCAGGCCGTCGAGGCCGCCAAGAAGGTCTCCTCGCAATTCCAGAGCGACTCTAACAACGACGGTCTCCTCGGTCTTGCCTTCAGCAGCATCAACACCGTCTCGCCCACCCCCCAGAAGACCTTCTTCGACAACATCGCGTCCGAGCTGGACGTCGCGGCTTGGACCGCCGACCTCAAGTACCACACTGGTAGGATTACCCCCTCTTGCCCCTGAATTCACAAATCCCGAATTTTGACCGAGTCACTGCTAACACCTTTAAAATAGCTGGTACCTACGACTTCGGTGTCATCGACCAGTCCAAGTACACTGGTGACATCACCTACACCGACGTCGACAACAGCCAGGGCTTCTGGGGCTTCACCTCCACTGGCTACGGCATCGGCACCGGCAGCTTCAAGAGCTCCTCCATCGCCGGTATCGCCGACACCGGCACCACCCTCGCTCTCCTCCCCGACTCCGTCGTGAGCGCCTACTACAAGCAGGTGTCCGGCGCCAAGCTCGACAACACGCAGGGCGGCTACGTCTTCCCCTGCTCCACCACTCCCCCCGACTTCGTCTTCGGCGTCGAGGGCGCCAAGTTCACCATCCCCGGTGAATACATCAACTACGCCGCCGTCGACAGCACCAACTGCTTCGGCGGTATCCAGTCTGACTCCGACATCGGCATGTCCATCTTCGGCGACGTCGCTCTCAAGGCCGCTTTCGTCGTCTTCGACCAGTCTACCGGTAGCCCGAGACTCGGCTGGGCTGCCAAGGACTTGTAAATATCTGGCAAGGTTTTACCAAGGTGTGGGCACGTGCCCTAGGTATATAAGCCGTTCATGAGATCACGACGATCATGTGCAAGAAATTGTGCTACGGTCTTGGGGAGGGGATGAGTGAACGGATTGAATCGGGGTTGGATCAGGGGGCTGGTCTGGGATGATATATATTATGCTTGTATATGATTGACGTAACGTGATGCGTGCGCATCGCTTATTAGATGCGCCGCTTGTATATCACTTTTTCGGGCGGTAATAAATTCAATTCTAACATACCTATTGTGTTCACCATATGAGTGACTCGGAAGATCTTGAAAGCGCTAAGCCTGGAATAAGTGCAACCATTTCACTTCAGGGGTAAAGGGGGAGTTGATGACTCTGCTAAGCATCTCATGGTCTTGTGACTGAGCTCAATAAACTCAAAACCCAATCCAAGTCTTCTACCTACCTTTCATTAGGATGTTCAAAGGTACCAGGGTACTCGTAGGGCTTAGTCACCTTCGTATCCAAGGTAGTAGCAACATAGGCTTCATAGAATGTGAGAGGTTGTCTTGACTTAAACTATATAATCTCTCCCCTATCTTGGCAGTCCCTACAGAGTGCATTGACGGGCTATGGTGTACAAATATGTACTTCTCGAATAAGAAGTGAAGGCTCAACCCTATATCGAGTTTGTATTTTTTAGGGGCGACTAATCAGTCGTTGAATGGATACCTACCTAGGTAGCGATGGTCAAAGGTGAATATGGCGTTGATCTAAATGGACTGATACTCCTGTTAGAGTTATCCATAGCTTTCTTTCTATCTTCACCATAACAATGGCTACCATCTGGAAATACGACGCCAACCATGATTACAGGATACGAATGAAGGAAACGCGATTCCTGTCTTACATGCCTGCTTGCACAGGCTCTCATTAGGCTCATCATTGACATAAACCCGCTCTAATAGATCGTGTCTTTTCTACTCATTTAAGAACCATAAATTCATAACAAATCATCACCTTCGTAATGAGTACTCCGTACTCCTCCGCAATCATCGAAAGCTGCGGGATACCACCTATTTCTGCTCGCCACCAACACATATAATCCGCCCCTCAACTCTCGGCGCGATGGCCCTAGTCCAATCGACCGCAAACTCGCCGTCCTTCAGCTCCTCTCCGAGGCGGCTCTCTACGCGGGCGATCCTTGCCCATTTAGCAAAGACTCTGCGCATAATCTGCATCTCCTTGTCGATCGCCTCGATCTCGGGGATCAGTCCTCGCTTCGCGTCGTAGCTCTTATCGCTGTCTTCGTCGTCGGATTCGTCGGCCCGGACTATCGACGACTTCCGCTCCCGGATCTTTTGCGGCGTCCAGTTGTCCCAGCCCGAAGCCTTCGTCCCCGTACTTGGACTTGCGGGACTCTTCGCCGGGTCGTGGTGCGTATGGGTCTCGTTGACCTTGCTGGTGACGCGGTTCCAGTGCCGATCAACTAGAAGATGTTAATCCACACGACCTCGTCAATATTTTTAAGAACCGAGACTTCTCGCCTCAACATCTTCGTCATGAACATAGGTGGAAGGAGAGGGTGTGAGGTGATGAGAGCCGTTTAATGAAAAGCAGGGTTTCTTACTATTGTTCCCCCAATATTTCCATTGTCCCATCACACGGAGAGACATGAAGTACTGGCGAAGCATCATAGAGATCAGGATCCCGTTCTCTTCGGACACGATTTCTTCCGCCTGTCCGCCTTCCTCCTCTATCAAGAGGCTATCGTAACCGTCTTTTCCGCGGGCCATATAACCTCGCGTGACGAGGACATATTTTCTAGCCATATCTATCGGCTCCCCGCCAATCGTGGCGGAGACTATGCGCGACCCGCTAGGCTTCTCCCCATCAAACTTGAAGGTGATGTTGGACACCTGCGGGAAACGTCCCTCGAGGGCGGGATACTGAGACAACCCGTTCTCCAGGGCATCCCATATAGCTTGTCCCGTGACTTTAATCACCACGACAGGATCCTCGAACGGGAAACAATTCATCTGTTACAAGAATAAGCCGCTAACTCTGCCCAGTAAGGTTTCTGGAGGTTTCAATCGCCAACAAACGAAAGGGTTTCTTACGATATCCTTCAGCAGAACAGGGCCGGGGGGATAGACCTGATCACCACGAACGGTGCCCGAAGCCATCAAGCTACAATCTCCAGAGTAGTAATGTCGCATGATATCGCACACCCAATTGGCGATATTACTTTCCCTCAGTCGAACGGTCCTAAATCTAGCATCAAGAGGTGCGGCCGTATAGCCGATGGGCTTCTGGAGAGTTGCTTTTAGGCTAGAAGTCAACTTCTCGACTAGCTCAATGGTAGGTCCGTGTTCTGGAATGGCAGACGTGGTATCCCGCCGTATGATATCCACGTCCCATCGACCCGAGCCGTCGGTCTTCCGCCTGGCTTCGAGGTAACTCAGCTGCTTAAAGTCCGTTCCTGAACGCAAGACATGGGTCCCTTTGATTACGCTATGACTATAGTAATGGTCATGGCCTCCGAGGATGATATCGATAATGCCGTCGGTTTGCTCGGCAAGCTTATTGTCGTTCGGTTCTCGCATGTGAGTTAACGCGATGACAATATCGGCTCCTTCGGCTCGGAGCTGCGGGACAAGCTCCTTAGCGGTCTGAGTGGCAGACTTGTAGACAAGATCAGGGGGGAGACTGTTAATGGTAGCAAGCCATTCGCGTTCGCCAAGCCCTATCAAGCCAATCTTGATGCCGTTAGAAGTGGTAATGAAGTGCGTCTTTTTACAATTCCCGATGGGAACCGAGTCTCCCAAGGCGGGATCCAACACGTTCGCGATGAGCCATGGGAATTTGCACTTGGAAGAGAGATGTTTGAATTGGCGGACTCCAAAATCAAGGTCATGATTCTATTCGTATCGTAAGTCAGTGAAGCTAACAGATTAGTGTAGGTAGTGAGTTTTGACTTGACACATACTCCTAGAGCAGCAGCATCTGTCCCTATGTTGTTCAACAGGGGCACCATGTGGTCACCTGCCAATTTAGTCGATTAGTCTACAGCTCTCTAGCGACCGTCATTCACATCTGAGATCGCAAATTGAAATGAAAAGCAGTGTGGGTACATATTCTCGAGTATTATGTGCTGGGGAATACCTGCTTTAACGCAGTCTGCTTCCCCATGCTGAGTCGCAATGCATACCTTTGGTGACGGAACTCTCCAAGCTGGGATTGAAAGCGTCCCCGGAGAACAGAGTCACCAAATTTGGTTGGCCCTTGAATTTCTCGTCTTCTTCATAATGTTTTATGAGCGTCATGAATCGTGAGGCACCTCCTACCGGTTCGCTACTTGACTGGTCAACGTGATAGACGTCATTATAGTGCACAAGCCTTAAATCCGGAGGCCCGTCATGAGCCCCCGAGCTGTAAGTTACAGATTCATTAGGAGGCACTTCTGCCTTCTTGTCTGGCATAGTGATAGAGGATAAATAGATAACAATATATGTGAAAGAATAAGGAAGAGGGATAAGAATGATAGTGATAGTAGGGCTGAGTAAGTAAATATAAAGTTGTGAGGCGAAGGCGGTAAGACGATAAACGTCAACTTCTATTCGATGATGCTTTAGTGGAACTCGGGGCCCGTTAAGAATCCATCAAGCTAAGCCCTGGAGCCCCTGAAGGCCGTGAGCCAATCGCTTGACACCAATTAGCCAAGGCATGCGGTCTAGAATTTCAGGATTTCAGGCACCATTTCGATGTTTTCACCGTTTTAATCGCTAAAACCACATTTTTCAGCAAATCAACATGCTGTTGCATGTCGCACATGGAACCGATTTGGCCTACCATGGGAATCATGACAGCCCCGTTTCGGATTATGTGAAATATGTTCAAATTATTTCTCGATCGTTAAGCGTTAGCTTTTCTCATTTTCCCACTCCAAACTTGCATGTTGAATACATATTTCAGACTCCTCGCTCACGCGACATATAAACACTTAACCAGCGCCCAGCCCTTTCTACCTAGGTACTCATGATAACGACGTTAACGTTGAAATGTACATATTATCGCAGTCGCCATCTAAGGCTCTCCCGGCCAAATCGAGTCCGCGAGTTTTCTCACCAACTTCAGTTTGGCGACCATGTCATCGTGCGTTACAGCATTGCCAAGATGATGGCTAGCAAATCCACACTGAGGGCTGACGCCGAGTCTCTTGAGAGCTTCCTCGCGCGTCTGGCCGGCTCCTTTCGCAATTATATCAGCAGCTTGAAAAACTCTGCCGCGCATCTCCTCAAGGTCCTCGAGCTCGGGGAACTTGCTAGTGATGACACCTAGGACGACATTCTTGTGTGGAGGTAATTCCTTCAGCGGCTCGAAGTTTCCTGCTCGTTCTGTGTCGTACTCGAGGAAGTACGTGTCGGCGTCAATGTTGTTAAAGAGCTTAGTGGCGATTCGATCATATCCACCCTCTGAGAAATGTCTGCTATTGGCGAAGTTCCCTCGGCAGAGGTGAATTCCCAAGTGCATGTCAGCCGGGCGCGACGATACGCAGTCATTGTACAGCTTGATGTACGAATCAAGGAGAGCATCGGAATCCTCGCCGTCTGCCTTGAATCCAGCAAGCATTTTCTCATCGCAGAAGTCTGCGATCGCGAATCCGGTCAGTATTGGCTCCCTCAGTGGTGCCGTAAGCGCTATAGACCTCACTCACAAGCCAAATTTGGGTCATCAATGGTGACGTTCCGACAACCGTTGTCATACAGGAGCTGCAATTCCTAGTTACGGATTTCAGAATTAGCAACTACAGCTGTGACTAATGAAAAGAAAGGCAATGTATACGCTAGGTAATAATCTACCATAGAAAGGGAATTGAGAGGATTGCCTTACTGTTTGGTAGGCTTTAGCAATATCAGCGAAGTACTCGGCGTCGTTGGCATACACCTCCTTTGGATATGCCCTGCCCTTCTTGTATCTCAGATGATACCTGCAGTATTTAGAAAATCAGCGCTTCCGATCACGATGAAGCCGCAAAGCAAAATATAGCATCAATGGATTCCAAACAGACGCCTTACTTACCATTCGGGGGCGGCCAGCGTTATCTTCAGCTCCTTTACTTTTTCGGCGGGAACTAATTTCTTGAGGTAGTTCCAGTCGGATAGGTAGGCACTTCCAGCATGCTTGATCTTGCCGACACATACGATCGTTTCACCCGGCTTGTGGCCCGTCTCGGCTGAGGGGTTTAAGATGTCAGCCCACTCGACCAACAACCTCAACCAACATCAACCCCCCCTGCCCCGAAGAAGACTCACTGAATGCGGCAGTATCCGGCACGTACATCCGGAATATATCCCATGACGGGTTTATGATCTCCTCGAATCCGTCGAGGTTGGGGAAGAAGGTTCCCCAGAACTGATGACGGCGGTACTCGCCATCGTTGATGGCGTGGAATCCAAGATCCAGTTGGAGCTTGACGATTTCATTGATGGACTTGTCTTCGAGGGCGTGGAGTTCCGCATCTTTAACGATATCGACTGCCTTCTTATCGTCAAGCTGAATGCGCTTCTCAACCAGCTCTTTCGGGCGAAGCAGACTCCCCAAGTGCTCGGCACGGAATGGCGGTCTTTGCTTGTTGGCCGGCATATCGATCACAAATCAAGATACAGATCAACTGGTCAAAGTTCAACGGGATTCTCTCGGGTAAGTAGGGGATATAAGTGGAATTGATTTTGCCACTAGGTCGAGGAGGTTATAAAAGTATCTAGAACGAAAGGTACCTTGGGAGATCTATAAAGAAGACAAGACGTCATCCCCTTTTATCTATTCCGGCCCTTCCATTGCCAAGTTCAAGCGGGGATTCTCTAACCCCGAGCTCGATTGGTGGAGGAGAGATGAGGAGAGCTGCGGAGAAGCAAATGAAGCAGCATCGTGACTACCAACGTCCGGGTAGGCTACGGTGAGAGGGGAAGGATGTATGAGGGGCGCAGGGATATATTTACATTAGCATAGAAGTAGCAATAGAGGTACAGATAATATGCCTATCATGGCGGATTGATTTACTAGATATGGTATAGTGGGACTTGAGATGTTCGGCTTATGTGGGAGGTCTAGCTTAGTTGGAGCTTAGAGAAGTCGAAAGGTGCGTCTAGAAGACGACTGCTATGTGTTGTATGTCTACGGATCTCTCATTGCCGTTGTTTGTGCCCATAATTTCCCCGTTTTCTGCTATTCAGCATCCGCAATCCCTGCACGCCCCCGCCTTTGTCAATGCTGACTTTGCAACTATAGCGCGCCAACGCGGTCCTACTGGCGCTACCCAGCTACCTAGGTAGGCGACAAACATCAAGATCCTCCAGCTGCAACGTCCTGCGTGTTTTATGTATATGAAGTGACATGTCGCAAGATCACCTAATACGAGGTGCGAGTTTTCCTTCCATACCAGCCTCTAAGTCACCTAATATACCTACAATATTATACATATTAGCGATTCCTTGCGCGGTTACGAGAGTATCAAATTGGTGTAGTGGTGTAGAAATTGTATCGATTCTCGGCCGTGATGATATACATATTAATCTAGATCGTACGACTGTTTATCCGGATTCTCTGTTATAAGTGTTTTAGGGAAGAATAAACGATTCGGTCGAGAACAATGTTTGTCCGTGACGCGATATTCGTTCATACTTAGCCTACCGTTCGTTCATATAATACGCACGAACATAATATAATAATATATTATTACCTACTCAGGTTATCCCCTGAGTGTCTTACTCTTTCCCAATACTTCAGTATCAGCTCTGTTTATTTCACTTGATTCTAACCCCCCTCATATCTTTGGTACCTATGGCTGAGTTGGAGATCACATTGCTAGTGAGATCATACGTCATAATAAAAGGCGGCCGTGTTCCCATATCATGTTGACTCTTCCTTTGGGTCGAGAATTGCTCGACAGAACAGAGTCCGGTTTCTCCAAGACAACATACCTTGGATAGCTTATATTCCTGTTGAATACTAGGTAGTATATCACTTATATCATTGAAAGAAACACACACAGCTTCAGACGGAATCGAAAGAATCTCTTATAATTCCAGGCTCAAATTCGCTTTGGGGTGATAAATACCAGAAAAGATAGGCGGGTACGTACCTTGAGTTTTGCAGGAGATAAAACGTTATGCGAATATACAGTGTCTCTTTATTCAAAGAGTGGCAGTGGCTGCCCACCGTATATGCACATATCAGGTAAATCGATATATCGGAGAACATGCCCCCACGTTCCCGCCTAGTCCGCCGGTTGGCCGAGGCCGACCATACATGCATAATCCATAATCCATAATTCATAATTTCGACATCATCATCTTCAGACGAGAGTAAATCGCGATACCTCTATCATACTTGAATATGAGCATCGATAAGATTACCAAGCACCAAATATCGAGCACAGTTCAAAAATAGAACGTGCTGAGTAATATTCCATTATTCTTGTCGCTACAAACGCTAGGCTAGGAACAGAAGAACAGAAGGACGCAAAGACATAGGACCCAGTAGGATCACAACTTAGAGATTCACTTGAGCGAAGAAGCGGGAAAGTGAGAACAACCAACCCAAATTCAACGATCAGGTTCTCGCTGTCACCATAATGGATCGTATACCTCCGGAACTATTGCTGCACATCTTCGAGTTCCTCGATGGCCCGGCTCCGTCTCAAGTGCGACTTCGCCAGCAGCCGAGTGACGACATGTTGCATGCCAAATCTCAACTTTCACAGAGCCTCAAGAACGTGTCTCTTGTCTGCAGAACTTGGCGAATCCTAGTGCTGCCTAGTCTGTTCCGCCACATCTTATGGAGACCCAAGATATCATCGCTCCGCGCCTTTACCATGAACCCGATCCCTCTCCTACAGTTCTTGGAGAACAACAAATTGGATCGAGGCGTCACAACATTCACCCTGATCGTGGACTTTGTCGACAAGGAGGCCGACGCCAGACATATGACCCCCGAAATACGGACGGTGGATCTTGAGTGGTTATGGGATCAGCTCTTCTCCGTCATCGATCCTCTAAGATTTACCATCATTGCTCCACCCACCACGCTCGCTGCCTTCATGTCTCGGATGCTATTCTTAGACGATGCCTGGTCGTTCAGTATCCCTTATCACATTCTCTCACTTGCCCGAACCACAAGGGGCCCTTCGCGTGACCGGTCGATAGAAGCACACTTATCCGATCTTCAACTCTCGCCGCCACCGGAGCACGATGCTAGGAGAGCGGCTCGACCCGCATCGGCGAGTCCCCCTACCGGAATTCGGTACAGAAAACCACCAGCGTGTCCGCTATTCACCCTTCGTCCCTGGACTTCCATCCTGCTTAACGAAGGTTCATCCACCAGGGTCTACCGAACCTACGAATTCTTCCTGCGGAGGCCACCGTCCATGTTGGGGGCCCTTCTTGGGTGCGAGGAGCACCCCAATGACAGCCCACTTATACCATCTACCGTTGTTGATTTCAATTACATCGCCATATTCCCCCTCTCGTCTCACTTCGAAGTCCTTGTCCAGCACCTACCTAAAATCGAACGACTGTTCGTTCAATTAACGCCTGGTCCGGAAAGCCAGCTCATGTTGGACAATAGCGAGATGCACCATGTCGACTCAGCCGACCTCTGGATGGAGCGCAACACAGCGTATAGCTCCGTAATGCGCGAGCTAACCATCGCGGATAGTCCCATAGACCGCCCCGGCAATTGGGCGTCGTTACAAATTTTCGAGAGCGGCGACACGGCGGATATAGAGGCCTGGAACATGGCCGTCGACTTCCTCAAGAGTAGCGGGGTCAAGGACTGGAAGGTGGAACGGGAGGGCGTGTTTGTCAAGCACGACGACGACGGGAATGGCCCCGCCACTGAACGGGAGATCGACGGTCATATTGCGGCCGCAGACTCGCCCGAAGGACAGATCTTGTCAGTATAGACCCTCCCTTTTCTTTCTTCGGGACCTTCGAGTTTGATAGGCATACCATGTATAAATTGCAGTTCCCATAAGACATCTTGTGGCACGCCTCAATCCTAGCGAACACGATATACCAAGCAACATCATGGAGAACCAAAACTTTAGACCTCTCCTAATTAGCTCGATATTTCTTACCGCCTGGCAAGAAATAAACTTCTAGCGGAGGAATCTCAAGAATCTCGGTTACAATACGAGCATTCCGAGTTCACACAAGACTCCATGTATTGCAGACCGCTTGCTGATAACACAATGCAGTCAGGGATCACTAAGGCGGTTCGCGTTCAACGGCGTCGCCCGTCTCCCCTTTTCGAGCACGTTGTACATGCAGAATGGTCAACCGCCAATCAATGGAGATTAGGACCTCTAAAACGCCACGACAAAAAAAAAAAAAAAAAAAAAAAAAAAAAGCGTCACGAAGGATTTCTAGAAATGGGTGACGCGAGTATCATACGCATAGCTTCCAATGCTTGGGACATTCGTATAGAGCCACGTAAGTGGGTGTCAAAGTACTCGTTCTACCCCTAGGACAAGAGGCAGAACATAAATAAACTTAGTAATTGTCATTATTATTTTTTATACTATCTAGATCATCGTAATGTGAACGTTTTCTAGCGCCACCCAATTCGAATAATCCGTAATATTTTTCTTCCATGCCTGTCCAAGCCTACTATGCTACAAGCCCTCTCTCTGGCCCGCCCCCTAAACTCACCATGCCGGTGTCTATAATGCCGAGCCAATATACCGACCCCTATAAATACATATACACACCTCGCGTAAAGCCGCGCCCTTTGCGTAGGGAGGTAAGCAAGCGATGCTTCGCGGCCTTCATAACCCCGATTCCAAAGCCAATACGCCTCTATAGCGCCCGCAATGCTAGTAGTAAGGGTCTCAAGGATGATGATATCCACATCCCGCCAACCTGTAGGATGTCCCAAGCATGTATAAAGTAGCTTAAGAATCCTCATAGATCCATTGTCACAAATGAAAAGATTCACAGCGTCTAATATCGCTCTAATATGACATGGCCATCTATTGGCCAACCCGTGATATGATCAATGAGTCCGTAAATGCCCCTGTATACAGTCCGGTCTATCCCATTCGTCCCACTAGGAAGACACGATGAGGAAAGAAAAAGAAGACACTGGGAAATCGAGGAACTGCAAGAGAAGGAAGAAGTTGGGGTAGAGAGGATAAAAGAGAGGATGAATTGGACTTCAACCCCATCTAATCCAACCGATCATCCTTATCACTATCCTCGCTACTCCAGTCCACGGGGCCCGCGACATCAACAGCAGCCTTGCGCTCGGCGTCCTCGGTCATTTCGCGCCACGTGCTCCAACTAAGCATCAAAAAGGCCACAACAATCATGCAGCCACCGGCGATGGCAGCAGCGCTCATGCTCTGGCCCGTGATCAGCCAGTCGGCGACCGCGACGATAAAAATAGTCAGCAGCGCCGCGACGGAGCTCAGCACGGGGCTCGTCAGCGAGATCAAGACGAGGAAGCTTCCGGCGAACGTCGCGTTCATGATGACAGACAGAAAAAGGTAGAAGGCCGCGTGGCCCGTCGGCAGCTCGAACGTCTCCCAGCCGAGGACGTGCAGGAGCGGCAGGGGGATCCATAGGACCGTAAGCGTGAAGGTGCCGATGCAGCTCCCGAACGCGTTGGCGAAGATCATGCCGCGCGTCGCCGACGTGCCTTCCGGCGGGCACGCGAAGCGCTTGTATAGCACCTCGTACAGGCCGTAGAGCACGCTTCCCGCGCCGATGATCATGTTGCCCAGGAACCGCGTGCTAGCCTCGGTGTCCAGGCCTTCGTCCCCGCCGACCGGGTCCTTCGCGTCACCGTACGCGACGACTAAAACGCCGGCGATAGCTATCAAGACCGCGAGCGACTTGTCCAGCCGCAACTTCTCGTTGAGCAACGGCACGCTGAAGGCGTAGGCGAAGAAGGCGGAGCAGTTGTAGATGGCCGTCAGATCGCTCGGGCTCGTCATGTTCACCGCGATATACCAGCTGAAGCCGGCCACCGTCAGCGCCGTCGTGATGAAGGCCGTGGTCCGGATGATGTAGGGCAGCGGACTGCGCTGTATAGTGTGGCGCGGGATATCGAGCTCTTGCTGGGCGACCATATGCGCCGTCGAGCGCAGCAGGTATACGTGTCTCCGCCAGAAGGTCCGCCACGGCACGTTCCACTTCTGCACGCGCAGGATCAGTAGCTGCGCGGGCCATAAGAGCGCCCAGGATCCGTGGGTTAGGTATAGCATGCAGTACGCCTTGTTCCAACCCAGCTCGTGCTGCACGTACCGTCCCAGTTCGGTCTGAACGCAGAACGATACTAGCGAGACTATGAGGAATATAGCGGCGTACGTGTACTTCTTCTTCACGGCCATGCGCGCCTGGGTGTCGGGTGATCGAGACCGCATCGTCGAATGCCGGGAAAACGTAGGCCTGCTGTTGATGGAGGACGGCGTAGAGACGGGTAGGGCCAGAGGCGATGTCGGCCGCGAGTTGTTATACCGCGGCCTCCCGCGGTCTTCGTCGTCGGATTTCTTTAGGAGCGGCGTGACGGAGCGGCCGTCATTCGGGCGGAAGAGGGAAGATCGTTTGCTATCCGGCATGGTGTCGTGGTCGTCTTCGGAGTCGTATACGGAGCTAAGTATGTCGAACCTACGAGGGCTGCGAAGCCGGCTGATATCCGAGCCCTCGTCGTCTTCGTGCACGAAAGACAACCGCCTATCAAAGTTAGGCGTTCTCCCTCCTACGGTATCGGTGCCGCTACCGATGTAATCTTCGACGCTAGACCCGTAGGAACTAGCCGACAGCAGCGGTGACGGTTCAGGTCTTGAACTCAAGTGCTGCGATGTCGGTTTCAGGCGAGCCGGAATGCTGGATAGGCGGATGTTGTTCGAGCTCGAAGTAGACATGAATAGAAGGAAAGTAAAAACAGATAAACGGTTAAAAGCGAGAGTTATACGAAGATAATAAAAGGGACCAACCAAAAGAAGCGGAATAAAAGGTGGTAGGCTATCCCATCTAAAGATAGTACAGAAAAATAAGGGCAATGCCGTCTTACGTAGGTTGGTATACTAGTTGCTATACTAGTTGGTATAGCACAAGGACAGAGAGGGACTAGGGTTAGGCTTTCTTATTCGTCAGAAGTTGATCAAGTGTAGCAAACAGCACACGAAGATATTCCCATATGCACGTCGGATATGCAGACAGTGAGGTTGACGGAACTAAAATGCGTCAAATGATACCCAAACGAATGGAATTCCTTACCGGTTGCTACGCTAAGGGGCACGCTAGCTAACACCCCTGTCGCTAAAAGTGTCCTTTTAGTGTTTATGAAGATCATCGTCATCCCGGCTACGAGTTACACCACCTTACAGTACGTACCTACCCACTGTACTTACACGCCGAACCGGCACTGGCCGGCTAGGGGACCGATCGTAACGGCCAAGCACCCGAGTAGGCTGAGCTGCTGGGCACCAACCTGGGGAGTTTGGTGGATAGTGCTGCTCAGCCCTGCTGTATTTCCCATCCACCTATCCCATCCACTAAGTACCTACCTAGGTACCTTGGAAGTCAGGCGTATGAAAAAGCAGTCAGCCTCCTATGCTACATGATCAGATCTTGCATTTGTGTGGTAACATGGATCACTCCTCTTAAGCCTCTTAAGACCTTCATTATCTACCCGCATATTAGATATTTCGATTATCTAGGTAGTTAGTCTACTCGACGACAGCCCACGACCTATTTCGCGTTCGCTCCGAATAGCGCCTCCCGCGTGTCATATGCATACACCAGATCTTTGTGCCAATAATTTGGCGCGTCCGGCTTCGTGATCTTCCACGCCTCGTCGAGCGCCTGCACGACGTCTTCGGGTAGCGGGCCCTTCTCCAAGTTGTCGAGGTTGCTCACTAACTGATCGTGTGAGCTAACGCCGATGAGGATACCGTCGTTGCCGTCCTTGATCTTAAGCTGACTGTGGTGAACCACCCAGCGCAGAGCTGTCTCGATGAGGGTCAAGCCGGGGTGCTTTTCAATGGCCTTCTCGATAGTCTGAAGTGCTCTGAATGTGCTCTCTTTGAAGTACCGGTTACGGTAATTGACTCCCGTGGAGCTCTTGGTGCTGAAGCGGCTGGAATCGCCCGGGTCGATATCCACGCTCTTGATCTTGCCGCTAAATAAACCACCCGCAATCGGATTATACACCACGATGTCTAGTCCGTATCGCCGACAAGCCGGTATCAACTCGGGCTCGATGCCCCGCGTAATGGCGTTGTACATGCCCTGGTAGACAGTCGGTCGTACCCAGCCGTTGTACTTACATGTAAGGACAATTTCGGCTACCTCAGCTGCCGTGAAATTCGAAATGCCGAATCGTACGAACTTGCCCGCCTTGTGGAGCTTGTCTACCGCCTCGAGGGTCTCGGCGAACGGCGTCGCGCGATCCGCTGCGTGGAGATAGATGAGCTATGAAGCCTATTTATCAGCATCACAAAATGGACACGGGACGAGGTAAGTCGGGTCTTAACAAAAGTAAGGGTAAACTTACGTCGATGGTATCCGTACCAAGTTCCTTCAGACTTGTTTCCAGAGACTCGACGACTTTGGCGGCCTGGTTGGCGCCGGGTTCGCCTGGATACTTGAACTTAGTAGCCAAGGTCAGTCCGCGCTCCCTCCACTTGGTCTGCCGCGTGAACGCCTCTTGCTGGCCACCTATATACACTCGTGCTGTGTCGACCTCATTGTAACCTCGAGCTTGGAAGGTATCGAGAACCTTGTTGAACTCGTTCACGTCGGTAATGCGCGCCCCAGCTTTCTCATCTGGTCCAAAGGTCATCAGACCCAGGATGATGCGGTCTCGCGGCGATGAGGCGATCAAAGGCATCTTCACGCTCTCGTTGACCCTCTTATTCCTAAACTCGCTCTAGAGGATGTGTGCTTGGTGCCTTGGCCTACTTAGATCTGCTTGGAGAAGCAATTATATCCAGTTGGGGATGACAAGGTAGAGCGGGGAAGGTAGCGGTAGATTAAGAGAGTATCGGACTTAAGCGCCTCGCACTAAGATATGTAATGTACTGCGTAATTACGTGCTTTTGCACGCGATGACCAGCTCCAAGGTTACGTTCGAGAAACCCCCACCGGCTTTATGCTGGAGGCGAGCGGGGCAACTAAGATCAACTAAGATATTAGCTAAAGGCAGCTGAGAGATCCCGGCCGAGTGATCCCGGCCATAGGTGCCTTTCGACGTACTATGGCTGTAACATTGAACAAGTTTTATAGACATCCAATAGGCCAGGAATTCATTTATCACAAAATCATCTAAGCTCTTTTCATGTAAAAACTGCATTCTCACATGTCATATTTAAGTAGATGTCTTCAATGGTTCTTGACATACACCAGACCACAGTAAAATGAAAGGTATCAATTACTTTGTGACATTATACAAAATAAATAGGTATGATGTGAGTATTATAAGTCATGACTTGTACGAGGAATTTGATAGATATATCGGATATAATTTAGAATTTACCAATAGGAAATTGCAAAAATATATCAGCGAATCTTGGAAAGGAGGTCACTTAGCCGCTCCCTTGCTCAGCAAGAAATGGACAAGTTCGTTCTTTCCGCCATCCATCGCCCATCTTAAGGGTGTGCGCAGTTCATCGTCCATGGCATTGATGGGAGACCCCGACTCCAAGAGAATGGCTAAGATGGCCAAGTCACTTCCCATGGCAGCAATATGGATGGGCAGGGCACCGTGGTAGCTTGGCGATGGCAATATGACGTCGGCACCGTAAGCCAGGAGAAGCTCGACAAGCTCTAGATTAGACCTGGACGCCGCTCGGCAGAGAGGTGTTTCGCCTCTAGATATGAGATTAGCGTCTGCTCCGGTATTCAACAAGACTTCAACCACCTCTTTACACCCCTGAGATATCGCGTAGTGGAGAGCAGTCTGCCCACTCTTGTCTTTCTTGTCGACGCGAGCACCGCGGCTGCATAGTAGTTTCGTCAACGCCGTACTTCCCTGGGCAACTGCTCCGAATAAGGGAGACCATCCGTTGTTGTCGGTCATATCTAGGTCAGCTCCGTAGTCCAAGAGCTCTCGGCTTCGATCATGACACATGAACGACACAGCTTCATGCAAAGGCGTGCGTCCCCTCTTATTTCTTAGGCCCTGGTTCGCTCCGTGGGCTAATAGAATCCGAATAGTATCGACGTTTCCCATCTCACCCGAGGGAGGCTTCGTCGCTGCATAGTGAAGGGCAGTGTTCTTGTTCCTATCCCTGGCGTTCACAGGTGTTCCAAATTCCAACAACAATGATATCAAAGAGTCGGGCATCTCATTCATAACAGCTCGTATGAGAGGGGTTCGACCATCTTCGTCTAATGCTTGGAGCTTCGCACCCGCGAGAACTAAGGCAGTTACAATCGAAGCGGACGCTCCAGCGGCTGTTGTGTTGCCGGAAGCGAGGGATGTTTCTACCTGACCTAGAGCTCGGTGAATTGGTACAAGCCTCGATTGTTCGAGCGGCGTATCTGGGTTGACTTTCGATAAGAGACACTTATGTACGGAGCTATGATCGCACATAGTAATGGCTTCATGAAGTTTGCGGTTGAGTTTAGATTCGCTCTCTTGAGAAAGAGTACGTCTGTTTCGATACTTGACAAGAAGTCGCCGTATATCTGGTTGATCTGATACTTTGTGCAGATCAACTGCTACCAATGGCTGCAACCTCGACGACTCTGTCGTCTTCACAGACAAACGGTGCATCAGTGCTGTTTGGTCAACTAATTGGATAGTCGCCGCCAACAAACTTCCCCTATATGGCGCGTTAACCAGCTCGTCTACGTCGTTAGGGCTTGAATGATTAAACCTATTACCTCTGAAGACATTCCATCATGAGACGTAAGGAGGACCGGTTCCTCCGCAAGCCGAACCTGACATTTATGAAAAATTCCTGTAAGACTGGAACAACTTTTGAGGACGCGAGGGGATCTCCACGAGAATGATAGCGGCGTAGACGCGTAATTTCGTGATCGACGTCGAGCAGAATTTCAGATGTCGAGTGCAAGATGACTTCAAAGCAAGGCTTGAGGTCTTCAATTTGCTCTTTGTATGTGCCTTGCATGACATCAAACTCGGGAGGTTCTATATGTGTTAGAAGTGATCCTAATCTTTCAAAGACTGCCCTTGCAGTTAAACATTCTGCAGCTACAGGTAACATGCTGGCCTGAGTCAACATGGCCGACTTCCCTAAATCGACAAGACGACTGGCAACGGTCCCACAGGCATATTCGACGTCTCCCACAAGTGTTTGAAGAGGTATCGCCATTATTAGTTTAGAACGAGGCTAAGAGACGTTTTCGCAAGTCAAGGGATAAAGGGATGGTTGCTGTATTTAGGATAGAACATGAATCAGATACGATGAGGTCAGGTAAATAAAGCCATGATAATTTTTCAAAATTTGGCTTAGATCTCACTAGAGATGAGAAAGAGAGAGGACCAAGACATAGATTCTAGTCAACTTAAGGACAGAGAATGAATCGACAGTCGAGATAGATTGGCTGAGTCAAGGGCAATGGACATTACTAGATATCCCTTCATCCTACCAGGCTTTGTTATTAGGCACGGAACTTAGCTTGGCTGTCTATCTCCTGGGTAAGTAGATAGAAAAGAGATTATGATTTCCAAGTTGTATGTAGAACCAATACACCGGTAATGACTGACGAATGGGTGTCAGAGCCGGAGGCTAGAAGAAGCAAGTTGATGTGCTTGAAGAATGATAGAAGAGGTTTCTAAACCGAGTTCATGTCGAATTCAAGCACCAACAGCCACGCCACTTAAATTAGAGGCGTCAATCTTTCGATACAGGTATTCTTTAGACTTTCCCACAGACTTTGAAGTGTTGTCGAGTCTGTGTAGATACTTACATCATGACAGTTGAAGAACATTGGAAATGAAGGTTAATTACACCTAAAATGGAAATGGGGGTGTATGAATACAGTGTGTATATGGCATGCACTGTACGTACAGCGCACCCACGTATCGATTAGATAATCAGATCTAGCATGTGGGGAAGATATAAGCTAGGACCACCTGACCTCACAAGTACCTACCTATACGGGTGGGGGGGGTTCCTTGACATTATTGCCCCTTAATTGCATACTGGCAACTATCACCACTCCTGGCAATAGCTTCGACATGATTGCGTTAGAATAACTTTAAAACATTTTGACCTATTTAGTAATCAATTGATTGAAGTCAGGTATAAGCTGTAGTTATAATGGCCAGCCAGGGCTAAAATAACCACGTTAATATACTGTTCTTCTTAGGGCACCATTTTACCTAGTTATTTATTACTTGCATACACCCATTATCTACGTAATATCATTATATAAAAACACTATTATTTCTCTTATTGCAATAATCTCTTACTACTGCAATGATTTTCTCCCTGCAATGGTGGGTCTCGGCGGATCTCCGGGGGATTTCACCAATCAAATCTCGGGGACTGAACCCAGGATATAAGCTCCAAGATCCGGACCTGCCCCACATGCGCGTAGATTCGTAAGCCAATTGGCCAAGTGGTCAAGTAGTGACTCGTAATACTGTAATACCCGTAGTATGCATACCAAACCTTAGGTTCGAATCCCACTTAGTGCATGTTAAAAAAAAAAATACTTAAATACTATAGCACCTTCCTTAATTAAGAAGGTGCACCTACCCTTTTTCCCTTTTTTCTTCCCGTTTTAAGCTAGCCCCACCATTGCAGGACGAAAACCATTGCACACCAAAAACGATTTTAGCTTAGTTACCCTTGCAATCAATTGCAATATATTCCTTTATACAATGGTTATTATTTAGTTATACATGTTATCGAAATATCCTGTTCGCGCTCCAAAACCCTTTTTCCTTAATAAGCATTGTTTTCCTACGTATATAATTGGTCGAAAACCCCTGTATTATTTTATAATGGATGTATATTTGATTACATATTATACTCAATATGCTGGAAACATCATTTTTTGTATTTATCATTTTAAGGATAATTTAGAATGTCAAGGTCATTGCATAAGAATGTCTAGAATCCCCCCCCACCCGGGTAGGTAGGTACCAATTTCAATTTACGCGTATACGGCAGGTACCGCGTCTTCCCTCATTTTCCCTTTAATCATTTTCGCGTCTCCGCGATTTCTTAGCATTCAATCTTTCACAAACTCATCCATCATACATCATCAAGCCCCCCAGTCACCCAATCATCTTGGCCGATCTGCCAATTCATACCTGCGCAACCAATTTTCTTCCTAGCCTTTCCTATCGCCGATTCATGTGAATTAACGTTACCATACTATTATCATCGTCAAAGTGCTGCACCTTGCCGGTATAGAGTCTGCCTTCACACGATATCCCATCTCTCCTACCATTGGCCATTGCCAATTACCAAGTTCATAATCCGTATTGTCCATTTTCAGGTCCCAGCTGGGTCCAAGCTGCCACCATGGTAAAAGATGCCACCACCGGCGGTATATACAGTGCGACATATAGTGGTGTAAGTGCTCGTACATTTTCTAAGATCGCATTCCCAACCTTGATGGAAACATCTTCACTCGATGTTACTTCGATGTGATGTCGCCGATCGCCTATATCCATCTATTGTAATCCATCAACATGCCAGCATTAGACATGATCAAGCGCCAAACTAACAAACGCAACCGCAGGTCCCTGTATATGAGTACCAGTTTGGCGGAGATACGAAGGAGCATGTGATGCGCCGTCGACAAGATGACTGGGTCAATGCAACACATATTCTCAAGGCTGCTGGATTCGATAAACCCGCACGAACCCGAATTCTCGAGCGCGAAGTGCAGAAGGATGTTCACGAGAAGATTCAAGGAGGCTACGGCAAATACCAAGGCACATGGATCCCCTTAGAAGCTGGCGAACAGCTCGCTCATCGTAACAACGTATTTGAGCGACTTCGACCAATATTCGAGTTTACTCCTGGGAATCAAAGTCCCCCTCCCGCACCCCGACATGCGAGTAAGCCGAAGGCTCCTAGGAAGCCTGCTGTTCCGAAATGGGGTATGTTACTACACATTACGTATCCATCGCTCGATCGCCATGTATCATGTATCGGGTATAAATGCTAACATCTTACAGGCGCTGCTCCCCCACCACCGGATATCGAGAGCGCCAGCCAGCAGTTGAACGAGGATGACACGCCCGATAATGTCACCATCGCTTCTGCCTCGTACATGGCAGAAGACGATCACCATGATCTGTCGCATCTTTCAACCGGGCACCGCAAGAGGAAGCGGGACGAGGCCATCCAAGATTACACAGAGCAACATCATGCTCTCTACAGTGACGAGTTATTGGACTACTTCCTCTTGGCTCGCCAAGATGTGCCTACATACCGTCCCGAGCCTCCGCCCAACTTCCAGCCTGATTGGATGATCGACATGGAAAAGCACACTGCTCTCCACTGGGCCAGTGCCATGGGCGACTTGGAGCTCGTTAAGCAGTTGAAGCGATTTAATGCCACGTTAGGTGTGCAAAATTCTAGAGGCGAGACGCCTTTCATGCGTTCCGTAAACTTCACGAATTGTTACGACAAGCAAACCTTCCCCGCCATCATGAAGGAGTTGTGGGACACTGTCGATGCGCGTGATAACTCTGGCTCTACCGTCATTCATCACGCCGCCATTATGAAGAGTGGTCGAATCACGAGTACCACCATTTGTCGATACTATCTCGACAACATCTTAAATAAACTCCTGGAGACTCACGATCCGAATTTTGTTCAGCATCTCATCGATGCCCAAGATTACGCTGGCAACACCGCGCTCCATCTTGCGGCCAGAACAAACGCTCGCAAATGTATACGAGCTCTCCTTGGCCGAGGTGCTTCCACGGACATCCCTAATGCGGAAGGAATTCGAGCAGAAGATTTAATCAAGGAGTTAAACGCTACGAAGAACCCCAAGGAGCGTGTTCCCCAACGATCCTCTTCCCCTTTTGCTCCTGATTCTCAACGACACGTCTCCTTCCGTGATGCTCTTACGGAGTCTGTCACCAAACTTGCCGTTACGTATAACTCTGAGGCGGCGAACACTGTTCAGAATACGATAACGCCACTTGTTCTAGAGAAGTTCGAGGACCTCGCCCATAGTTACGACGAAGAGTGGAAAGAGAAGAACGAAGCTGAAGTAGAGGCCCGACGTATTCTTGCAAATACTCAGAACGAGCTCTCGGTCGTGCGTGCGCAAATCACGGAACTTGATGGGCAACTGGAGTCGCCCGAGGCGGCAACCAAGGCAGTTGGCGATGCCACCGTGCTACAACACCAGCTACTTGACATACTGGCTAACCAAAGCCAACTCCATGTCCAAGTTTCTGTTGACAAGAGTCTATCTATGATGAACGGTGACGCCAACGATGATTCCTACGCGAATCGAATTAAGCTCGCCTATGAGCTCTCGGAACTTCTCGCAGAAGAGCGAAGTGCGGAGAAAGAGTACGTCGATGCTCTAGCTGTGTCAAGTACCGGGGAAAAGATCGACAAGTATCGTCGACTTCTAAAGAATTGCCTAGATCAGCAAGCAGCTGAAAACTTAGATTCCAACTTAGACGACTTGATCGAGATGATGGAGGAGGAGCGAAGCGAAGGTGCACCGGTCATACATAGCCAAGGAGAGCCTATGATGATAGGTTAGCTCATTTTGTAGGGTATGTCCGTTGGATGTCATGATTCTCTGTCTCTATACGTCGAACCTATCTTGCATGGCGTCGTAGGTACTTGGCCGATATCCATCTTGGATTCCTATTCTTACAGGACTGGCGTTGTGTGGCTGGCGTGCTGGTGTTATCACGAACCTTGGGAGGGAGGGAGATGTGATTCATGCCTCACGAGATATCCAAAATTTCAACATCATAATCTAATCCCAATTAAACTGCCTACCCATTGTGTGTAAAAAAAATTCTCTTCTTCTAGAATCAGCCCTTTCGTCTTTCCTGCTTGTATTTGGGAGTAACAAGCCACCGTAGGATTAAAGGGAGAGTATAGAGCTGAAAGTGGCCAGAATCGGTAAGCCGATGCGAGACTATCGTCTGCTACGTAGGATCTAACGAATCATTCAGCTAGCTCCTTGCGCCTTTTACATTCGTCCCGCACTATGTGTATATGTACGAGAGATGAAGGGTCGCAAGAAACTTCTCTCTTCATTTCTACCCATTCACCACGAAAAGAGCTTCCGAGTCTTTGCAACTATCGCGCATCAATCTAGCCGATTTCTATACAATAGATATTAGCTGAAGCTACTAGGTTTGACCAATGGCATTCAACGACGTTACAGCAGACACGACTTCACTAGACCTCGTGATAGTCAACACTTCTAGCTCCATTGCCACGATCGCCCTACTCCCTATGGGGAAGATTGCTCACAGCGTATCCTACGATGTCTCTGTGCATCATGCAAGTCATACCTATATCGATGACCCGGGTATGATCACGAAAACGAACGCGGTGTGGCTCTGATCACTGTACCTGCGGAAGCTAGTTCGCAAAACGAAGCTGCGCTGAATATCAGATGCTCGACGAACTCGGGTCGCTCCTGAAGCCCGCTGAGAGGCTATCCTTTCAAACCAACTGGTCCACGCCGCATATATGGACTTCTATCCTGTATCGAAGGCAATAGTCTACGAACGCTCCGGTCTGCATACCCACACTTCCAGCTCTCCACGGCCTCCGCGAGACTGCAGATATGAAGAATGGGGCTACCGAAGAGGTTCAGATGGCTGCTACGTGCGGGAATCTACCATATGGAGCTGAGCTGAAGTGCTGAATAGGGGAAAGGGAAATGAGTTTATTGAGGTTTCTCAAGTGTGAAGTACCTGATCCTAATATGGGAGTGTAGCTAGATACGAGGAGTCCCAGCATAGGCACTTGGCAAATAACATGAGTGAACGAAGAGGATTCATCACATGAGCAGGTAAGTTTTCGTTCCTATTTTTATCTACATTTCATTTCTTCATAGGATGCTCAAGCTGAGTCAAATTAGATGGGATTCTCTAGTTGGTACCTATTGAAGTGCTAGTCCTCAGGTTGACTTAACAGGGATACCGACACTTAGCTGGCGCCGACCCCGTGGAGGATCCTAAAATCTTGGTTTCGCATTATGACTCCTATACGAGAGAATGATCTTACGAAAATTTGTCATGTTAAAAGTCAATGTTTTCTCGTCAGCTTCTACCTACATCTAGAAGCTCTCGTCCAAGCATTACCAATCCCTTGAATCGCCTAAGGCCTAGATTCGAGAAGGTACGGTTAGCTCAACTTCGATCATCCTAGATATTTAGCATCCCTCGAGAAGATGATGTACTACAAAACATGGTAGAAGCAAACACAGGTATCTCGCATCCATCATACTCAAATCATATAAGTCATGGGTATCTGCCGTATAAGTACGGTTTGGCAAGGGTTAGTTATTAGATGAGAGATTTCTAAGTAGGAATTCATCAAAAGCTTTCTAACAGTGCTATTTCACGCAAGTGTTCTTGTCAGTCCATATCTATGTTATCCTTCGAACTCGATGAACTTGATGCAGTAAAAGGACTAGTATCAGCTTCCAGAAAGCTTTGATTGTGAGGGAATTTACCTAGTGAATACCTACCTAGGTAAGTATATCGTCACGATATTGGTTGGTTGGTAACATTGAGAGAAACCAACATCCACCTTCTTCACCTTCTGCTACCAACATCTTAAACCCTTGTTCTGACGACCAGTGGCCACACGGATAAAATCCGTTTCCATCAGTACCTACCTAGTAAGTAGTTGAGTCGTTCAACGTGGGGAAGCTTAATATTTCCACCCCTACGTCGGATCGGACTGAGCGGCATGATGGCCCCAGCACCACAAGAGACTCCGAGTCTATTGCCTTCTGACTTCAGATGCTCAATCTTCCGCGGCCCTAACGACATTCCCCAGTTGCGGAATCATCGGGAGCTTCGCTTTAGTGTATCACCTATCGTTATTCCGTAGATACCTATATATCCACCGTCAGCACACATATACGTGGTCTACCTTAAGCGGGTGATATCCCGGGTATATGGTGTGTCTGGCTCGTATGGGATAAGCCCGACATGGTCAAAAGGCGCAACCGCGTCAGTCGGTATTTGGAGTCAAACGCCGTTCTGGGGGGAGGTTGATGTTCGGGATGTTGGGCTACAGCCGTGTGGGTGTGGGTCACTGAATCAACGCCGTCAACGACAGCCTCGGATCAGGAATAGTTGAATAAGTCAGACCTAGTAAACAGTAAATAAGTTTCGTTTACGCGGTTAAGTCTGGTGCCTGATATATGCGCGTTGTCAATCTCTTTGGGCATTGTGCCGCAATAGCCCCCAGGGGCCGCAAAGCAAGCAACATAAGACGTCGTTTTACGAGCTCTTACATTCGAAAACGCTACTCAAATGTGGAGGTCAAAAGATATTACTAGTATAATCTATAGACTGGCGCCTCACTAGATATCTACGAACCTTGTGATTGGTACTTAGGTAGGAGGTAGGTAGGTAGGGAGCTGTACCTAATAGTATGGTAAATGGCTGCTTCGCAAATTAATACTATATGTACCTTAGGTATGCAACCTGCGTGTAGTTACTTTAATGAGAACATCTTCTCCCTTCAAATATGTTACCTACTGTATCCAATCATGGCAGGCATTATCCGAAGCCTGGAGGTATATGGGGTATATGCTGGCCCTAAGTGCTGATTCAGCTAACGTTAGTTTTCGATCGATGTCCTGTCCTAGACAGGGGTCGGTGTTGCTCGGAATCGCATCCCTACGAGCTAGCATACCCTAAAGCAGCAAAGAGGCCACGGCGTATTTGCGAAGATCGGCCTTTGGGCGCTTTTCTGGCCGGGTCCCTGCCGTTTGCTTGGTGCTAGGGTATGGTTTCTTATGATGGTATCATAGGAGCATGACTCAGATGGGAGCAATCCTATTTAGGCTTCTAGTACAAGTGACAGCTTCGCATCCGAAGGACCGCTCATTAGTGATGACAAAGCGTCCCTTAATATATGAGGTATTTGTAACGAGAATAAGCCTGAGAACACGATAGTCGGTCAGCATGTTAGAGTGTGAACGGAAATGGACTATAATGTCAAGCTTCGGGATATGTTAATTGTTAGCTCAACTGGTACAGCATCGGATCGAACCCAGATAAGCTACAGCTTGGTCGACTAGTAATCATCAATGCCACGTAGATACACAAAACTTAACGTTACTTAGTGTTTTGTTTAAAGCCGCGCCGTCGCCGAGTAGGTAGATAAGCTGACAATACTGAGGTGGCATGGGACGATATACTGCAGCCGTGAGGCTCCGACGTTTCGAGCCGTAGACGAGCCGACAGGAATCTCTGTTTTCCATTCCCATGGTCACCAAAATAATGGTATCGAAGCATCAACAAAAACATCATGTACTAAATAACCGAATGGACGGCTAGCTTGTTGGTTATGTTTACAGCCCAACCGTAAATGAACCAGTGAGACGGGTTAGGTAGAAGGAATCGCCCGACCCGGGTAGGCCGGGTGGAAAAGGAGGCCTCTGTTTGGATCGTTCGGCTTAGGTCCCGCATCGCATCTGCCATGTGGAAAGCGGAGAGCCAAAAGGCCCAAGATCTCGAAGTATAGCGTCAGCGGAGGCGTAAGTACAGGGCGCAGACTTCCTGGTAATCACGTGTTTGACATTGAGCATTCAGGCTGAACATGGAGCAATCTACTGGGATTCCGAGATATGGGCGACTGCATAGGTAGGTAATATAAGCCACTGTTTTCGGCATGGCAATTTATATGCGGCTGTTTAGAGGTGCGCTTGGGGCAAGTCGCGTTTCGTGGTCGAGATTGGGTTGAGATATACGGGCTACGTATGTTGGTGATCGTTAGTCGGTTACGATACGACGACGCGAATTCGGATTCGCAGTGTAACGCAGGCTTCGAAAAAGATGACCTACGGACAAGGGGTAGTAAAACCACAGCGTGACTAATCGGAATCTAAGTGGCTCAACGTCCAATGATCCATAGGGATCGGGAATGCAGTGTGGTGGATCGCTACAGGATCTCCGAGCCTAAATCTCGTAGGGCTGAGAGACATTGCAGCAACACGCAAGATCATGTCGATAGGTTATCATTGGTGACCGGGGTCTGGCAGTGGAGCAGTCCTAGGGAAAGTTGATGTATACCTACCTAGCTGTCGTACTGAATAAGCGGGTGTTCGTGATGACAATTGGGTCCTTCAGCCGCCAATGCGACAGTCGAAGCGATCGTAAATAGGAGTTAAGCGCCTCATTTGCCGCCGACTACCTCCGATAAACAAACGACCTACCTACCACATACCTACCCGAATAACGAGCTTCTGATGAGGGTAGAATCAGCACAGTAAGATAGTGTAGTATCAGTAAATGACTTAGGTAGGTCACTATCTCTATGCCCTATTTAGGTAGTTTATGCATGGGACAGACGAAATTTTCGCTCGTCTCTAAACCGAGGCGAATAAGAGGTAGGTAGTATGGAATATGTATGCTAGTTAATGTAGTGTGATGACGACGCAAACACGCCTCCGATGGCTCGGGTCGACTTGACGAAATTGAGCATAGGTAGGTAGGTAGGTATTGAATCAGGGTTCGGGCTTTGGTTTTTTTTCTTTTCTTTTTTCCTTTGTTATTGTAAGATAGCGGTCAGAGATCAAGACAGAAGGCGAAAATATAATGTACTGTAACGTGGCGGCCAAAGATCAGGAGGCAGTGTTTCTTGACTCCCATCGACCCGTTACGTTCACCTTCACTCCCAAGAGCCTCCAGCCAAGAGTCAACAATACTCTAGGGCCATGTTCATCGTTGAAAATTGCGCGTCTCCTTACGACGTAGTAGATCGCAACTTTGCTATCATTAGAAGAAAATACTTCAGTGTGGTATGTAAACTACCTCGGTAAACGGATTCCACTCATACTAGCTCGGGATTGCGTAGTAGAGAGGCGGTGTAGATAGCAGTAGACTTCAGGTGAGAAAAATGAACATGATCACCAAGACAGAAAACCTGCTGCTTGCGCCTCCACTACAGCCAAACAGGATATCTGATACGAAAGAACAAGGATCCCATTAGCAAGCCTTGCCGAATCGATGAAGTCGGTGGCAAGGCTGACCATTCACGGTTACTAATCGATATGTCGGACAGCGTCGCAATTAGCGACGATGTACTATCGTCAAACATGGCGCCGACGGCAAAGACGAATAAGATAGTCGAAGACGCCTAGACTGTAGATGGTGACGGAATGTTTTTGCCTCATTCTAATAGCGTAGATAAGTTTGGCCTATTAGGTCGACCGATCCATCGTACGCATGAAAGAAAGTAGAAACGAAGAAAATAAACAGAAGCTAAGCGAATATAGAAATGTTAGCCGTGATCGTTGACGAAGGACGAGATATAGTACAGATAGACGGATGAATAGAGTTGTGGGGTTGTATTGGCCGGGACTTGAAGCATCTCGGCACAGGACAAAAAGAAGGTGAAGGCTGGATTGACGAATAGGGATGGTCGGCCGGGGTTATTTTCAGCTGAACATGACCCTATGAACTTTTCCTGTTCCCGCTGCAACCCATAAACATCGACACGGGGTCCTTGCGGACTACCCATGAGGCTCGTGAGTGGCTAGTTATTTGCTAATCCCACTATCGATTTTACGCCCCCAAAAATCCCAAAATGCTACAAGCCGCCCTAGACAAGCCTCTGTTCTCTTTATGCTCCGTAATTCGTATGCAGCAATTTTCAAGATTCACGTTCACCACCTCGTCAGCCAACCTACGGATGTAACCAAGATCCGTCGTCGACGCCAGCGGCACTTCTCTTCTCCAGGGCTAGGGTTATCATACCTAGCTGCTAGGTAACCTACATCCATGTGCCGCCTATGTACGTTGTTTGTTTATCCACAGGGCTGTGCCTCTCCGGCGCATTGACGAATCAACCGGCTCTATGCGCAGGTGTCCCGCACGAACGGTCCGCTTTGCATACAACAGCGAGCTACCATCGTAAATATTAGACCTGATGTAGACATACGGACCTAGGTAGCTAGCGAAGTATACAATGTAGGTGAGAGCGTAGGTGGGTGTATAGCAACGGGAAGAGCCTGGCTGGAAGCAGCCGCGATATTACATATCATTACCGATGTCACGAATATGACAGGCGCATCGTGCAGAATGTATTTTCTTGGCGGAATTGCACTTACGTACAATACATAGTACGTATGATCACATGTCGCTTTTCATTCGCTAAGGAACAACAACTACCTAATTACTAACTTGGGGATATCGACATCTCGTACGGATTACCTATGTACCACCTGGGAGAAAAGACGATGTATCCTGGACATGCCTACCCCTAGCTTCTTGTTTTCGTACAGGTCATTTCGCAAATATCCCCGGCGTCAGCATTCACTCACTTTGCAAGAAACGTGAAGGATGTCGCGATCCCTTGCGTATTATAAGACGGCATAAGAAGAAGAAGAGGAGGACGAGAAGGAGGAGGAGGACCAAGATAACTGTGTTTCACTTCATAATCACTAGATGGACTAATAAATGAGCCGCGATTCGGATGTTTCGCAAGACGATCTACTTCTTGCCCATCCTCATCCGGTCTCTTATTAAGACAAAGACATGCTCCTCTTTTCGGTACCAACTTGCCAACCTCGCTCCTCCTATCCCCCGGTCTCTCGGTGCGTCAGGGATCGACCTTCGACTAGGTTGTTAGGGCGGCGTAGGGCTCACCTCAGCTGAACCCCGTCCACCATAGGTACATATGTAGTGTCAGTGAAAATGAGGCTAACTCGTTCTAGAAGTCGCCTGGCAAATAAATCCCTGGTAGCTTAACGGCGCATCAAAATGCCTGCGGGCCCCATTGGGTCTCGTCAACAAGCTTACTTTTGTTTCCGGGTATGCTAACCGTCTGCTAGTACAACAATAATCTAGACGAGTCCTCCCTTGATGTTTCAAAGGATTGGTCGCGTTTCCTAACGCCGTATCTTTAGATCGCATATAGGGCGATTTACAGCCAGCCCGCTTTCTCGACGGCGATCATACTGTGCATGCCCTTTATTAGTGCCATCTGCCTTTTAGTATATGCAGTACGTTGCACATGTCAGCTACCCATAGGCGCGTGTTTATTAAAGACCATAGATGGGAATAGGGACTAGTACATAGGTAGCTTGGTAAGATACCTACTGCACATCGTATGCTCACATGCCGTGCATACTTAGGGCATAGACCCTGGAATTCATATTTCCTACATTTCTCATTGGATCCAACTTCAGCTCAGTATACCAAACTACGTAGATGTCCCATTTATTATCTAGTTCGTCACACGGACCAGTACTCCCTGACATCCATGGTAGTAAAACAGTCCAAGACTTGCGCCCGCGAAGGCTGACGCTTTCCTTTCTTAAGCCCGAGCGTCACAGCACAATCGTCATGGCAAAACTACCTACGACTGCGTTATGAGTTACAGCTGTATCCGTGTAACGATGGCTGACTCGGGAGCGCTCGAGCTAACATCTACGCTAGGTACTCGAACTCCCGAAGCCTCCTAATAATGCGCACAAGGAGAGGCTCCTCCTTTACGACAAGCAAAGTCAACTTCGAAGTCCCAACACAGCTCCACAACATCTCCACAGACACTTACAAAAGTCCGAAAGACTGGTGAAGGCCGGCAGGGATTCCTCTTCATAATTTGTTAGATTCTGAGCTACATACACACACTGGTTCACACTGGTTTTCTTGAATCCCGCCTCGTCCTTTTCCACATCATCCCAGGTTGCACTAGTCTCGTGCTACCCTGTCGACCTTGTCGACCGAGCTGCCCGGCCAGATCCCGACTCAGCGGCTAAGCTTACGGCCTAATTTCGTGCCGCTGGCAATTACGTCGACCGTGCGTTCAGAGACCTAGTCATTTTGCCCCAGTTTCGTATGCACGATGAATCGCTTTGCAAAGTTATCGTGCAGCATGACAGCAGGAAAGGCGTTAGGGCCTAACAACCTTCCGTCGCTCATCACTACTAACCCGCAAGATCACCTCCTCTCTCCTACTTCTTCTCTTCTTCCAGTCCAGTTTATATCGTTTTGGTCCCTTCTGGTGGACAGCTAAGCAAGCTAATGGATACCTTGTCTCGACGTGGCCCGCACGTTGCGTGAATATGAAGAGCATGTTTGCCTCATACTGTCTCTAATTTTCCTCATACAGCCCCGAAGAGGCAAGCCGCCGAGTATCTATGTCTCCTCAATTGAGGCTGACTGACGAAGGATAGCGGAGCCTGTAATAGGAAAGTAGCTCTGCTCTTACAACCACTCTCCACTTACACTCACACCCTCCCCGGACGCTAGGGCTGCTTGCTTTCACGAGTGTACTTTTCTCCATAGATTGTCCATATTCCTTGTTGATGTCCAAGTTCAGTATTGGTGATGAGACCCTGATTCTACGTAGTCGTACTAGCTCTATGTCTAAGTCATCTCCGTATATATCTTTCCTCTCCTCCCGCTTTTCTAATCTCGTTCAAACACTTTAACGACTTTACGACACGCCTACTCCATCTATTCCCAGTCGCCCAGATTAGCATCTCGGCAGCCATCAAAGGCTTAGTTCTCTCGTGTTGTAAGCCTGAGATTAACTATCAGAACCATCTTTCACTGTCTTGTTTTCTCTACTATATGCGGACACGAGTGATTTTAACTCCCTGGCCCTCCTCTTGGGACCCCAACGTGTAAGCCGGCCAGCGGAGCCTTGTTTGTTGAGCCTGTTTACCAACGAGCTGACCGTGGCCTATCTAACCTGCACCTATCAGGTCATATTCTTCTCTCGCCTAAACATACACATTCCCTCCCTCTCTACCTCTTGCTCACTATCCCTGGCCTGCCAGCCGGGCCACTCTATGCCCGCGTTTGTGCATATTTGATGGTGTCCCGATATTGTGGCCAATCCCGCTGAGCAAAGCGGGAATCCTTGCTCAGTCCTGAGGTCGTCCCGATCGACAGACCGGCCCACCCCCCGAGCTCCCATTTACTAATCTACAAGATACATCGGTGAAGGCCCGACCCCAGACGGCACAGGAAGCACACCTTGTTATTTAGTTTCCATAATCAGCAAGAATGCCCGCTGTCAATCTCCCTCTGCAGGAGACCCATGGTAACAATACCCTATATGCAGTGCCGGGGACCCAGCTGCGGCTCTTGTCTGGAGTCGCGCTTACGTTCCTGGCACTCGTCTTCCTCGGTGTAGTACTACGCGTGCTTAAGAGAAGATATAAGGCTCCCCTCCCGGCCTACACCGGCAAGCTCAATGCTAGTCCAACCAGCCTCCAGACTCTTTGGATTTCAGAGAAGTCACGTGGAACCGTCTTTTACAACGACATCATGTCAGTGAACAGCCCGTCGGGGATTTCCCAGTTGAGGGCGGCCGAAAACTTAGGTGATGGGAATAAGAAACGTGAACGGGATGGGTCTAGGGAGAGGGCGACGGGAGAGGAGACCATCGAGGAAGAGAGGACGGCTTCCATGAGCTTAGACGCAGGCATGCCACTATATCTCAAATCTGGCCCTCCGCCACCATTGCCACTAACACCACCTGTTCTTTCGACAGGAGTTTTCACTTTTCAGGATCGCCGGTTAAGCGTGACGGCGTCGAGCATAGGTGATCTGGACACAAGCTTCTTCCACCAGCCGAATCCAGACTATACGCTCTCGCCTTCGCCGGGATCGATGTCCACTGCGTTGCCGCATGACCAAGGCTCTCCTTCCATCCCGAGAAGGAGATCTTACACGAAGGTGTTGCCGCTGGGTCCCGCTCATTCAAACCCCGAACATGGCGAAGCATCCTTCCCGCCAAGTTCGTTCCCGTCGTCGAGTCCGATTTTACCCCTTGCGCCACACGAGTCACTTGATTCTGACCACAAGGAGATCGACGTAAAGGGCGAGATTATCTCGGTAATGGACGATTCAGGTGCTGGCTGGAAACGGCATACCCGTGTCTACGGCGGCGGTGTCTGCTTAGCCTGTCTGGCATCTGGTAGTCAGGGAGGTTTCTACGGCGATAATGTTCCTCCTGAACATCGTCGATAACTACCTACCTACCTACCTAGGTACCTAATAAAAAAATATTTTTCGAGACGCCTGGACCGACTTCGACGTTCTGAAAAGGGGAAACGATATAAGCTTCGAAATATTTCAGAAAGTCGCGGCGCAAGTAACTATCCCGGAGAAGCCGGAGGAGCTCCGATGAATTTAGGCCAGCGGCTGCGTTGGCAACCAGGCCGCGTTATCCCGGGATTTTGGGCTTGAAGGTCCATCTTGGCAATTTCTCTAGGCAATATTTCAGCATGCCTTCAGAGAGTTTTGACGTGTCGTTTTTTGGGGTTTTTACTACATTGGGCGGTCATAATTGGAAAAAGGATATACCTGTTTCGCGACAGTGGTTACTTGGATTGGAGACACCGGTACTATTTTGCTCACGCCTATTACGATCATTTCCTTGTTCTTTTCTCTTACGTCTATGTACCTATATATTTTATTTCCTGGCATATCGAGAGTCGTCAGCTTGCAAAATTCCTCCATGTTTAAAAAGTCCCCTTTTCTTCTTCCATTTCTGTCTATTTTTAACGTCGCCCTTTTCGCGGCGCGCTGTCGGACACTCTGGAGGAGATTTTCCCTATCCTTCTTAAATCCCTCGCTTACTTCGTGAAGTGGCTTCGGCCACACCGAGGGAGTTCTTAGTGTCGCGGCACGATCATTAGTTCGCGGAAAAATAACAGCCAATGTTGGTTTTCAGGGTGAGGCTCAGCCACTTTTACACCAACACCGAAACAAGTCCATTTATGCGAAAGACGTTGCGTTGCTAGTTGACGCCGGCGATGTTGACGTCACTTTGATTAATTGGCGAAATGCGAAGCTGTCTTTTCAATATGGATCCTTATGCGAGCTATCCTACTAATCTCCGGGGAACTCGAAAACGCTAGCTACCTACCTATGCTGCAATGTAGGAAATGCTTACTCTAGGCAGATACATCATGGATCTATACGAAGCTCTATCTTGGAGGAAAAGGACCATCCCCCGGATATCGTCGTACGCATGATTCCTCGCCGTATTTGATCGGTCCGTAGACTTAGGACGAATAAGCCGATTTGTCATTTTGTACGCCAATAACGCACCCCATGATGTTCTAAAGACCTGGTACGCAAACAGGGTGACAGCCCCGATAGGAGCTACTTGACAGATGTGACAGCTCACCGATCCTCTGAATGTGGAATAGGACGGTTTAGGTAACCCCATGTCCCGCGTCAATGCTTCCGAACGGGTTTAGGGCTGAATCGGCTGCATTTAATTAATCGTTGTGCATAGGACCCCTTGCATCTCCATCCTTGGAAAATCATCTCAAGCAAACAACCCCTGCGTTGATCACGTTCGTCTCTATGCTTTTTCCTGCTCAGATAAGGCAATATGTTTATAATACCTGGGTGATGACACCCAACGACCGGGGGGTTGGCGACGGGCCGTTACCTTCACGACCGAAGAGGATCTTGCCCGGTTGACCGAAGGATCTCACGTCATATTACATAGGCATCTTCAGAGGTCTCTATCCAAAGTCCAGCAGGGTTCACCAATACGCAAATGCACCATGTGTGACCGCACACCTTCCATATAGGTCGGACCCGATGCCGAGAGGAGGATGACAATACCAATTACAACTTCAGATCATGGATAGGAGCTAAAGCGAGATACCGAGATCATCCTTTTTACCACTACAGACACCATCTTTCTTTTTTGACGCGCTCGACCGAGGATCCGTTCGCCGGTAAACTCGGTCGACTAATAACATAGCTAGTTAAGATAACTAGGGACATACAAGAAGGCGATCTCCACCGAAGCAAAAAGTTATCTAGATTCTTGCACTGTGCCACCAGTCGACATTGCGGCTCAAAGGTTAAAGCTCGCGTCGAGCTCGCGTCGATTCGATAATAATACGACCACGCCATCTGGGAGTATAAATGAAATACCTACCTAGGTAGACCGTTATCATGACATCAACTTTGGTCCTTAGGACTCGGAGCTTCCGAGTTTGACAGGTCAAATTCATACCTACCTATATAACATGCGTACATACCTAATCAATTACGCCATGATATGATCTATCTAAGATGACCCTTGGATCATATCCCTCTTTCGAGGCCGAAAGCCGGCGTGGCGTGTTCGGTATCGTGTTCAACGACTCGAACATATCCAGTGTAGGAAGCACAAGTAGTGAATGGCCTCTTATTCTATTAATCTCGGATACGGTACTGTAATATTCTATCAAGAAGGTGGTATCTCAACAGCAGATGTTGGTTACCAAGTAATCGCTTCGGAAGGGGCGGAGCATTGAAGTTAATATTAACCATCTATATGTTCCCCTCAACTCGATCTAAATCGAAGTCAACCTAGGCCCGTAGGACTTTTTGAAGGAACCGCGGTGTGGTAGCCTAGCAGGAGGAGGAGATGTCTCTTCCCCTTTCCCCGCGATCAAAGCGAGATATGATCCGGCTTCGGTAGACCCTAGGTAAGCATCTCGATTCAGCAAGATAGCATTCCTTTGAAAAGATGCTGAACGGATTACCTTCCGCACGTCCCTTTTCTGCGACTTTGGTAAGCCTCGGAAATCGGCTACCTACCGTAGGCTTGGCGAATAAGATGGACAATTCAAAGCTATGACTGGACCCATGTTGCGGCAATGCCCGCTGATCAATTAGCTGCCTAGTCAACACTGCCTGCACTACCAGTTCACGTACCCAAGCTACCAGTCTATGGTAGTCGGTCCGAGAGCGTATTAAGGGGTTGATTATGAGCTGAGCTGAGCTGGGCTGGGTGCCAAGAACGAGTCGTCTATTGTCGTATAAGGCTCTCAACGAGACCTGATACACGCTCGAGAACACACCTACAAGAGACACAAGATGTATCTACTGGCTTATAAATGGTGTAGAGAGGTCTTGTCAGATCTTGCTCCCGGAGATGTAATCATGAGACTCGTCAACCTACTAAGAACCGAACCTAAGGTACGTAAGGCAATGTTAGATAATGACAACATAGTAACCAAAAAATAGAGGAGTGATACTAAGCAGGCGAAGGACAAATCTTAATCATATGGCATAGGTAGTGATTCGACCATAAACTAGACCCAATACCCCTGTTCTACATTCATATAGGCGCTGTATCCCGTCGAATAAGTCATGAGCCTTTCGCAACAGGCAAATAGAAATCATCTTACACGCCCTGGGCCCAAAAAGTACTGGCGTAACCTGCTCATGTCATAGTCCCAACAATGAGTTCCTCTTATGCCCTTGTACTTGATGTCATCCTCGAACCTGATCAGATGCTCTAGTCAAAGGGTCATCCAAGCCAGAGGAAATCCAAAACAGGCTGCCTTGGCATATCCAAATATCTTGTAGAAATTTCCGTACAATCCATTAAATAGCCTACATGATCATACGATTGACCCCTATCATCGAAGCGCTGGGTTTCTACATGAATGTGACTCGGGACTCATATAGGTCTATATAACCCCTGAATGGGATACACGATGTTACGACAACGCCCGCATTCATTTAATATAGCAAACAATTCTACTGGTTCTGAGATAAGATCTAGCCATTGCTGATCTCAGACGCCGTAATCTAAGACAGATTCTTGAAATGCGGAGTTATATACTCTACGAACACTAAACTATTGAGTAAATGTGTTTACCCCTTCCATACTTCTCATTACTTACCTAGGTAGCTACCTGGATATTCTATACAATGTAACTTGAAACATACCCTCTTCAGATAGTTACTCTAACCCAACACCTAAATGACGAGCCATGAACATAGAGAGTTGGTTCCCAAGGCTTTCAAAGACTAGCTTCGTATTGTCTCATAACCCCAAGAAACAAAAGAAGCCTTGCTTGACTTGACACTGGCTAAGACATTTTTTAGTCTCAATGAGGACTCTTTTACGAGTTCCTTACTGCCCTTAAAGAGTAGAAAGATTACGTTCTTGTTATTGTAGATAATCATACATGATAGGTTATATGGCCATAAGACTCATGAGTTGCTGCGATCTGGTCGATGTTTTGCTAGCACTAGTTTAAGCACACGTAAAAAGGAGTTGATACTCATCGTAGCAGAGCCTAATATTCTACCAGAAGACTCGGATAGCTTGAGAGGTAGAGCTATGCTTAACTGCACACATCTCTTAATAGCTTGACGTGAATCACTAATGCTCCTAGAACTCTTATGTTACGAAAAGGCACCTGCCTATAATCATTGATGAGTGGCCTTTCTACGCTGATATTGACATGAATTCCTCCATGAGCTCCGGCATATGTGATATGCAGCATTTAGAGATAGGTTATCTAGCTAAAGGGGGTTGGTCTCAATTGCTAATAGAGTCTCGTCGCCATCTCAGTCATATCCCCTTCGAAAGTATGCAGCTAGTCCCAAAGCCGTGGGAAGGGGGTAATGTAGAATGGAACCAGTTGTCAGTAGGTAGATAGCTATCTAGGGGCCTCTTACTAACGGGGAGGTACTGTATCTTGCATCATCGCATATAGACTCAGGTTTGCCATAACAGCAGTGAGAAACACGTCGCTAATCTGTAGTTACTCATCGTAGTCTTAGATGAGTGCATAAATACCTACCCTTACATTGCCTTCAGGCAATATCCATGAAAACCTTCGGTTTCAAGCGTCACCCAGCTCTAGGGCCGGTACCGTCCTAACCCGAGATAAACCGACGCTTGAGAGATGTGTCTTAGAAATGGTGTATTGAGGATGAAACCTAACTGGCTACGTGTCACACGCGCGTTGGATTTGACTTGGGTGTGACGGAACGCCTTGATGGGAAATACGGAGTTATAGGTGGAATGTGGTATACTTGAGAAGCTTCTATTATCATCATCGGAGGTGACATGATTCGTGACCTTTGCCGATCATGGTGACTAAATGGTTGACCAAAGGCGAATTGAGGTCAACAACATCGATAGAATGTTGATATCACGATAATTCCCGGGTTCTCTATGGATGTCGCAGATCAACGCGATCAAGAGATGTACGATTTGATTACCACATTGCTCATTAAAGACGACTCAGAACTTCATGAAGGTCAATTATCTACACATAGGTACGGATGACTGGTTTGATTCCATATCCGGCATATCACATTGTTCTCATCCTTGAGGGAGG